TTAGGGGTTTAGGGTTGAAGGGGTTTAGGGGTTTAGGGTTTGAGGGGTTTAGGGTTTAGGTCAGGGGTTTAGGGGTTTAGGGTTGAAGGGGTTTAGGGGTTTAGGGTTTGGGGGGTTTAGGGTTTAGGTCAGGGGTTTAGGGGTTTAGGGTTGAAGGGGTTTAGGGGTTTAGGGTTTGGGGGTTTAGGGGTTTAGGGGTTTAGGGGTTAGGTTTGGGGGTTTAGGGGTTTGGGGTTTAGGGTTTGAGGGGTTAAGGGGTTTAGGGGTTTAGGGTTTGGGGGTTTAGGGGTTTAGGGGTTAGGTTTGGGGGTTTAGGGGTTTAGGGTTTAGGGTTTGAGGGGTTAAGGGGTTTAGGGTTGAAGGGGTTTAGGGTTTAGGGGTTTAGGGTTTGGGGGTTTAGGGGTTTAGGGTTTAGGGTTTAGGGTTTAGGGGTTTAGGGTTTAGGGTTTAGGGGTTTAGGGGTTGAGGTTTAGGGTTTAGGGTTTATCCATGCTGAGGGAGGGCTGTTGACTAAAGCCTGCGCCAACATAACATAACCTTAGTAGCCGAGTGGATACACTTTACACTTTTTGGGACAATATCACCCACTATAAAACTGAAAGTGTACGCTTCTTTTGGGGGGGGTTATGAACTCAGCAAGTAAGTAACATTGACATCATAAAGCAACATGACATGTAAAGCATTAGAATCGAGCAGTATGACTATTGGCTTCCTACGGCATTCGTAACCTGTTACTTTGAACTGCTGATCATATGTGGGTATCGAGCAGGTTGCGGCCTGTAAGCTCCGTCAAAAAACAACGGCGACGAGCGGTAACAACAATCACTGCTACTTCTTTTCTACTCGCAGCTATCAGAGATGCCTTCGCAGCTTCATCACAACCGGCACCACCACCACCATCATGGAATAGCATTTTCTGCACCGCCAGCGCCAGCGATATCGTGACCTTCTTCTTCACCACAAATGCTGTCACCACACCTGTCAAGCAGCAGCATGTGTCTGCACAATTGGACCATCACCTTCATGTCAGCATCATCTTCCTGATCCTTATCATTCTATGCCGCACTTGGTTGTTGAAGGTTTGGTTGCAGTGCCTGGAGTGCAGGATTTCCGGTCGTCGGATTCAAGTTTGGCTTGAGGCGGGGGTGTAGGATACACATCTGAAGGCCTCTGGGTTCAGGCTGACAGCTTAAGCCCCTAGCCACAAGCCAACAGAAAACTTTCATTGTGCAAAGCACTGCTGAAGTCGCGGAGATGAATCAGTTTAGTCCAGGCAGAATCAGCTTACCTCACTCTGCAAGGTGTTTAGGCTGTTCAGGCTCGTAGTTTTGAGGCCTGGTGGTCCAAACAGGTTCAGGCCCGAGTTCGGGATATCGTTGGCTTCAAAGGCCTACAGAAGTCTTGGATCCAAAGAGGCTGCGGGAAAGCCCATGGAGATTTAGTGAAAATGCCTCTTTTGCCAGGGATGACGATGAGACCGTCCGGCCCTTGGAAACGACCAGGCCTTTAGGGTTTAGGGTTTAGGGCTTTAGTCACAAGTTTCAGTGCCGAGTATAAGTGCTGTGTTGTGTTCGTGTTCCGTCTTTTGGGTTTGAGGTCTACCAGGCTTAGTCAGCATTTCCTTCTTGAACACAGCATCGTGCGACGGTAGTCCTCGCAAGGATTCGTCACCGCCACATTCTGTAAGCATAGATTCCGTAAACACTGAACCCTAAGCCCCATACCTGAAATAGAAGCCCTACTCCCAAAGCTCTAAATACCCTATAAACCTTAAACAGAAGCCCTACCCATAGGCTCCATAGTATTTCCGTATATTTCCGTTTAGGGATTACCTTATAAGATATAGATATGAACCACAAAAACGAGCTACTATGGAGCCTCTCGGTAGGCCCTACACCCTAAACGCCCCAAACCCTAATAGAAGCCCTAACTCAAAGCTCTAAATACCCGAAACCTTACATAGAAGCCCTCATTGAAAGCTCTAAATACCCGAAACCTTACATAGTTTTCCCAATTAAAAGCCGGAACTGGAGCCCCGTGAGGTGGAGTCCCTGTGGAGTGATTGGGACATCCCTCGCCGCATGATGCAGGCCTTGGGGCTGTTCATACTTACCGATAAGGGTTACTATAAGAGATCTATAAGGGTACTATAATATAGGGGCCTTAATAATCCTATAACTTACCTTTGGTTAGTAGGGAATGGGGGAATGGGGTACAATAATAACTACTACTGATGGACAAAAGCCTGCATTACCCATTAGAAGGAATATACCATAATTCCCATAGTTTAGGGTCCTTAAGGTAATGCAGGATTTATATCGTCAACAGTATTACTACCATTCTCCTCCATTCCCTACTAACCAAACGTAAGCATAGTAGGGGCCCCAGAGGCTGAATCCCTAATGCCCTAAAGTAGGGGCCTTAATAATTAGAATTGGGTGTTCGTGTATAGGGATCCTTAAAGGGGTCTATAAGGCATCTATAGTCGGGTTCTATAACACAGGGGCCCTAATAATCAGAATAGGGTCTTGGTGGGATATTCTACTACATGCGAGTAAGGCGTGGATCCTTCTGAGGCCACGCATGAGCGGTAGCTTCAACCACATGTAGGGCCATAGGGTTTAAGCTACCGTTCATGCGTTGCACTCCTACTTGTCTCAGTGCCCCGACACCCCGGCCCTGGCCTAACTTTTTTGACGACCCTGCTCATTGATCTCTGTTGACGTATAGATGACGTACACCCTGAAGGCTACACCCGGAGCCCTGAAACCCTGAATCCCAAGGCCCTCAACAAGCAAAGGGAGAACTAGACTCTACTATAGGGGCTTTCTCGTTACCTATACTATTTTGGAGGGTTCCTTATTGCAATTGTAGTATAATGGGCCCCAAGACCCTATTCTAATATTTAAGGCCCCTATATTACAGTACCCGGCTATAGATCCCTTATAGACCCCTTTAAAGATCCCTTTAAAGGAACCCCTATTCCAGTTAGTAAGGCCCCCACATTATAGTACCCTTATAGATCCCTTGTTGTTATTGTAACCCTTATATGTGCCAGCATCCGCGCCCCCCCCCCCCCCCTCCCCCCCCATGGTAATCCCCCTCCCCCCCCCTGTGGTTCCTGTGGTTCCCCCCCCCCCTGTGGTTCCTCTTGGTTTTCCCCCTCCCTTTTGTGGTTCTTCTGGTTCCTGTCTCCCCCCTCCCCCCCTGTGGTTCCTGTGGTTCCTCCGCGTGGTTGCTGCTGCTTTGTTGTTGCTGCTGTTCTTCTTCTTGTTCTTGTTCTTGTTCTTGTTGTGTGGTCGCCCGGGTCGGGGGGGGGGGATACCATTGGGGGGGGGGGGGGGTCGAGAACGCGGAGCGCGGGCACATATAGACCCCTTTAAAGGGGCCCCTATTCTAATTATTGAGGCCCCTATATATGGGACTGAACCGCAGGTGGCCCTGTGGATCAAGGAGAAGAACGAAGAGACTGGAGAGTGACACGCTCAGTGCAGGTCACGGTGCCCCGATGAGGACGTAATGTAGTTAGCACATCACGGTGTAATGATGTATAAAGCATCAGAAGGTACTACTGTAATGGTGCAATCCACCGAAAACGTAATTGGTTAGTGGAATGGCATGGGAAGGCACGCACTTCATTCTTCAGGGTTCCGGGACATGGTTCCGATCTTGCCATTCTCTGGTATGTAGCACCAAAGCATTGTTGATGCAATGAATACCTATGGTCGCTGTGCCAGGCACGGCTTAAAACCCGCCACTCTGCACAGCCCGCACAGCTACACTGCCTGTCTAAGCGTCTACGAAGGTGGGAGAGCACTTTCTGGAAGATGCTGGAGGAGTCCAAGTGTGCCTCGTCAGCAGACAGACTCGCTGTGGTATCAGGGGCTCAGGGTCGGAAAGATTACTAACAGACTTGATGGGAACGATAATACTCCGATGAAGAGCATTAACAGTTAACATTGACAGACTCGGCACTTCAAAGGTGGCAGTAGTAGCTAACGTGCGTTGAGCAAAGACTTCCTGCACGTCATGATTTCGATGTGTGGTTCAGGAGCTCTAAACCCCGAACCCCTCTACACCTCTTAAGGACTCTATACCCTTCTAAACCCCTAAACCCTAAAAAGCACTATTGTGTAAGCAAGAGCAAGATTGGCAACTGGCTGCCACGTTGGGCCCGCGGCGCTCAGGCGACGATTGGAGCTTCCAGGGCCGGCATCCTACAAGCACTTGTGGTGTATCCTGAAGTATACTGCTACTAGCTCCCTCTCTCTCTCTCTCTCTCTCTCTCTCTCTCTCTCTCTCTCTCTCTCTACATATATATATATATATATATGCACCGTATGTGTATACATATCTAGACGCATCTACACACACACACATCATTCTTTGCATCAGTGCAAATGAATGCCTATATCTATATCTGTGTGCATATATATATATATATATATATATATATATATGTATACGTGCAGATGCATATCGTTTCCTCGGTTTCAACAGTTTAAGACACACTCGAGAAACAGTTCATCAAGCCTTGTTGTCGGAAGCTTGTCGCCGGCATCTCCAGGCCATACTATCTGAGAGGGCCACGGCACTGTGATTAGGGCATAGCACTGCAAACTGCAAAGTTGCACCTGTTTGCGGGGTGCTTCTGAGAATCCCGAAGACCTAGAAAGTGTGCAGGGCCGTCGAGGTCGTAGGCCACATGAAAGATGAAACGAGCGCTTCTGCCCCGGCTGAAAAAGGGATCCAGCCGCAAGGGGATGGGGCGGGATTGAGGCAGTGCAGCGATATGCCAGGCCCTGGATAGAGCCGGACGTGCCCTCGCGAACAATATCGGAAACCGATGGCACATGCTAGGATTCTAACCCCCAAGCCGGAAACCCGAAAACCCAAGCAGTAAGCCCGACAACCTCCCTGGCGGTGCATGCCTTTTGCCGGCTTCAGCTTGGAGTTCTTGGCCCCCCCTTGAGAGCACCGTTGCGAACCCAAAAGCGGAGATGTTAGCGGAGCAAAACGCTGCCGAAGCGAGGCGTGGCGCTGGCCTTTCAAAGGTACTCATAGCTAGCTATACAGAAGTGTGCATCATCATTTTAGTTTTTGTGCGCCGGTCTGTGGGGGTGTGTTTAGACATGGTGGATTTACGTTTGCGCAAAGGTTTATTACTTTTGGCTTTAATCGGTTCTTTAGAGGGTCATAGGGTCGTTTTCGGGTTTTGGGATGCTTTATGTGGTTAAAGGAGCTGCTTTTCTGCACGGAGCAAGTTTCTTCGCGTCTCGAGGCCGAGGTCGTTGGGAAGGTTCCGGGGACAGACTTTGCTGCTGGTCTTGGGCCTCTACGTCGTGAGCCGGCGGTTGGCGAGCTCCGCTCCTCTTCTTGGCGTTGGGGTGGGTCTCGCGAACCCGGAACTTGGGCTCTTCTTGAAGAACTCACCATTTAGATTGCGAGTGTGCGGTTTCTGCAGGCCTTCTAGTAACACATCTTTAGCACTTGTACTTACAAGGGTAGCCTTTTTCTTGGGAAGATTCTAGGCATTCCCTAGTATGGTAGCTTAGGTCATTTCTTAGTTTCTTAATCCATTTGAGAGCCCAGGAACTCCAGGAGCTAGAAAACAGGATCAGCCAGAGCAAGGTCTTCGTCGTCTCCAAGCAGTGGTGCCCGTTCTGCCAGCGTTTGAAGTCTGTGCTCGGCGAACTTGGCGTCGCCGCGGAGGTGCTGGAGCTTGAGGACATGAGCAAGAAGCCACTGGTTAAAGACGAAGCAGCTGTCCTGGACTACATGCAACAACGGACCGGCGCTCGCTCCGTGCCGCGGCTTTTCATAGCCGGCAAATTCATCGGTGGTTGCGCCACTCTCCGGCATTAAAAGCCGGTTTAAGTTCCCAACTCAGGTCACGCTATGCTCTTCGGTCATGCTCACAAGATTAGGCACCCAGACCCCAGAAAGCTACAATCCCGACAGTATGACCCTTGTCGATCTCTTACAGCACCCCCTACAGCAACCCTGAAGCCCTCTTCGCCCCTTGCCGGTTTAAGGATGATGCTGTGACCATGGCAAACTCCGGAGAGCTGCAGAAGCGGCTGAAAGAGGCCGGAGCTTTGTGAGCGGAAAGGTGCAAAGGAAAGAGAAAGGGGCATCCCAGGACAGGGTCGGTAGGGCGTCGGGTCTAAAGGTAAGGGGCATAGGGTTGTAGGGCTTTCAGTGTTTACAGGGTTTGGGGCGTTTAGGGTTTATAAGGCCCTACCTAGAGGCTCCATAGTAGTTTCTTTTTTATGTGGCTCATATCTAGAATCCCATAGGGCAATCCCTAAAAGGAACTACTATGGAGCCTATGGGTAGGGTGTGAGGCTGCGGAAACACGATGCCGGCTGGCCAGGGAGGGTGGAGCTTCCCTGGACCCCTGGAGTGCTCCTTGAAGCTTGTTGGCTCTGCAGCATCAAAAGAAACATCTCACCTAAAGCGTCGTTCTCAACCACGTAATAATAGAAATAATAATAACTATTACAATTATAATATTAGAGATAGTACTAAACTCAAGTGCATGTGTTTCTGGGTGTGAGCCATCCCCGTAACCCTCACGCAAGCTTCGTAAGCGGTAAGCTTCCTTCATAGCAACAGACTGAAGCGGGCAGGGAAATCTCGCTGGAGTTTTCCGGCGCATACGAGCTCTACGGTGCAGATCGAGCCTTCCCCCACCAACACATCCTTTTCAGTGCTGTATCGTTGCTTAAACGCCATGGCCGGATCAGCCCTGCTGCGCAGCTCTGCGATTGGCGGCCTGGTGCTTGCAGCCTTGCAGCTGCCGGGACCCCCTAAAAGCCGAAGTCACGGGAGTGCGGGACCATGGAAGAAGTCTGAGGCCCTGGTGTCCTCGCCTTTCTGTCTCAAAGCAGCTCTTGGCCGGACGGAGCCTCAGAGCGCAGAGTCGTAAAGCCGTGCCCCAGCTGCGCCATGCAAAACCTGTAGGCTGCTTGCTGGGCTACCTGGCGAGTGTCCTTGACGGCTCGGAGAAGCGACCCGGCTGCCGTCGGAGCCCTGAGAAGTGGAGAGATTTGGGAGTTTCCGAAGACAGGGGACCCTAATACCCTCAGTAGTAGGATCTTTATTATACGGACCCCCCAAAAAAGTATACCCTTACTTTTCATGTAAGGTTTCTCCTGAAATTCGCAAATTGAGGCAGAAGCCCCTGGCTGCTCAGGGTGGTTCAGCGCTTTTGGAACCAGGCGCAACCGAAAAAGCCAAAGAAGACGCCTGGGGAAGCATCGGCCGTCCCAGGTCCTGCCAAGGTTGTTCAACATCGATTGCAGCTTGGAGGACGAGGAGGCAGCCCGTCACATGACTGGACCGAATGTGGTGGCGCTCTCTGAGAGCTTGTGAACAGGAGCTTCGAAAGTGTGGCCACTGCGTCGTCGCAGCCTTAGCTTCCGCTGCGGTCACATCATCATCTCCTTCAGCACTATCATCATCCTCACCACCATTATCATCATAATCACCATCTTCATCGTCGTTATCTTATCATCATCACCATCATAGTCATCGTCACGATCACCATCGTTATCACAATCATCATCGTCATCACCATCATCATCATCACCACCCCTATCAGTATCGTCATCCTGGAACTATCCTCGTGCTTGTGACTGTCATTGTCATTGCACGTTACCAGCCCCAAAGTCCCAAAGACCCCCCCGATCTTGGCTATGACCGTACTTGTCCTATGTGACCCTGCGAGCAACGGCACGGCGTCGAGACCTGGGCCGCCATAGCTCAAAGGAACATGGGAGTTTCTGAAAATTGGGGTACTTTACGTGGAGTCCTTATAATAAGGATCCTACTATTTAGGGTACTATATTAGGGTCCCCTATTTTCGGAAACTCCCACATCAGTTATGTACTCATGCACTAGCTTGTGCACGGCACCGTGAACACGACGATGGTTCACAAACTGTGAACCACCGAGGGAAGACAGATCATAAGCAGAAAATCAACTGTCACGAAGATGTGACTGCTCAAAGTTATGACACTGCGTTGATCAGGAACATTCAGGACAGAAACGTGACGATCACCGGCGGCACGCCCGCAAAGATCAAACACGCGATGCCAGTCATAATAATTGGCGGGAGCACGCAGGCCAAGTCACAAGCAGCGCAGCAGCTGATTGAGCCCATTGTAGTCCCTCGGGCAATCCCCAGACCTACACGAGTTTAGGGCTTCGGGCCAGCACGATCTCACTTTGCCTCTTCTCAAGGTGGCCGTTCATCCGCACGGTGTTCTCTCTTTAGGGCACTATCTGGTGATCTCTGCCCGCCCGCCACGTTGATGAAACCGTTTGCATTTGTGAACCCTACTGATCCACTGTCTCGACTCGGACCACCCGTAATAAGATTATGTGATACTATAGTATAGACTATCATATTATAGTATAGTATATTATCGTACAATACAGTTCAACAGCCTCCCACTTTACTAGTAGGGCAACCATTTTTGCGATTATCTCACCGGGCTTTTCACAAGTGCAGTGCAGCACAGGTCGTCGGAGACTTGTTGCTCTGTACCGAAGCACCTGCTTCAGCACCGAAGGGAGGAACCCTTCGCGTATTCCGAGAGACGTTCGGATCTTTGGTGGGTTCTTGGTAAGGGATGTAATTCAATCCCTACTGTGATAACTTAACTTCGATTCCTTAACAAGAACCCAGATTGTGGAACCCTGTGGTGGCATCCTTTAAGGGGGACCTGCTTACGCGCCGGTCTACGTGGAGAGCAAGCTCTTAAAGCTTGACGACGTGTCGGTCGCCCATGATTCCGGCCATCGGGACATCGATGAGGATCGTGTCCTGGAGTTGTTATTAAGGTACCCTATTGCAACCTTTAAGGGCTTCCTGAAGGGCTTCCTTTTAAAGGGATCTGCCAGGGCTTCCATCCCTGTTATTGAACTTAAAAGGGTTACCATAATGTTACCATAACAGTATCCATGATGGTAGCATACCCAGTATGATGCAATTGTGGAAGCCAGTTGGGAGTTTCCGAAAACAGGGGACCCCAATATGACACCCTAGATAGTAGGATCCTTATTATAAGGACCCCAGGATAAGGCACCCCCTAATTTTCGGAAACTCCTAAACCCTAAACCCTTTATAGAACCCTTATAGAGATCCCCTTAAAGGAACCTTTAAAGGATCCCTTTAAAGGTACCCCTAGTATGCCAGGGCTTCCATCCGGACCTCGAGAGGGCTCTGCCCGCAAGCAGACGCTGTGCCTTGAGTGTGGAGCTCTCAGCCCGGTGTCCGTCAGGTCGGCTTTCAGAACAATAATAACTTAGTAGCTGGGTGGATGCACTTTACACTTTCTGGGATAATCTTACCCATTGTAAAACTGAAAGTGTGCACTTGTTGGTGCTTATGAACTCAGCAACTAAGATAGCGATAATAATACTATAGGGATGATGACAAATGAAGCAATAATCATGATAGTGATAAGACTACCAGCAACAACAATAATACTATAGGGATAGTAGCAATAGTAGCAACAATAATGATAAGATTACTAGCAACAAAACGAAGAGAAAGAGTAAGAATCGTGCTGGTAATCGTAAGAAGAACCGTATCAATCAGAACAACAGTAATATCAATAATGTGTTCACCACAGCAACAGGAACACGATGAATAACAACAATATGAATAATGTGCTGTAGACCGCACGGCAGTGATGATCGAAGATCATTAGAATCATTAGAACCTCGAGGCTTAAAAAGCCTGCCTCGAAATCTTGAGCTCCATAAGGCCGGTGTCTTGTTCAAGCTTCCTGGAGTGCGGGAACTGGCGCTTGGATTGGGATGCAGCTCGCTCAGAAGCAGGGTTTAGGATTTAGGTGTTAGGCTTTAGAGCATGCTGCAGACAGGGTGTCAGACTGGCTTCATGGTTCAAGGATGTTCAAGCTATGCGGTCTGGGGCTTGGGTTTGGCACGTTGAGCTCATTCAGTTTGGGTTTCAGGGAACTTGTGTCTTGCATTGGCATGTTGCATGAAGGCTTATATTCAAGACAGCCCCGGTGCCAGAACACGAGCTTACACCGTATGACCATAAGCGCTGCAGTATGAATAACGGCGTGGAGACCTTATACTATGCTTTAAACTTGAAGCCATACGTAGTTAAGTTTAGCCCCAAACATTTCCCGAAGAAGACACGAATCCTTTGCCTCGTAGTCCTGAGATTGCTCAGAAAGTTGAGTGCCGACTCCTAGCTTTTAGAATGCCGCCCTGTTGTCGAACTGCGAGAGGGAGGAGCAGCGGAACAAGGCATAGTGACTTCTTCAAGGGCAGCGTTAGCGTAAAGAGATCGCTTACATGGATCGTAGCAGAATCGACATAAGTTCTAATTGAACCACATACGCAAGAAACCCGATAATGTGATAGTCAGGGCCGGAGTTCGCTGAGGCGTTGATGCGCATCGGGATGTAGCCAAGAGGTGCCTGTCCAACGGGCGCGACCCTTGAATGTGGCTTTCCGAATGCATCCAAGGTTTGCAGATTATCCGATATTTTTGCATATCGTTACATCCATCGCGCATACCGCTCTTGCCATGCGCGTGCCCATCAAGTCTTCACAAAGCGGTGGCGTGAAGTGGAATCAGCTTCGAGTCCCGTTGCCTCCTGTACCTGCGGCATGAGTTCGTGAAGATAGCCTGTGCCTGCCAAGGCTTAGCATATCTGTGGTTCCCGGCGGTGAGCGGGAGCAGCTTCTCGCACAGCACGTCGCTTAGATCCGAATCCGTGTGCATGCAGCAGTTCTACGCAGTGTTCGCAGCTCCATGCAGGCAGTCTCGGCATTTCTGACTCGGCTCCTGCGTGCCCTAGAAGTTGAAGTGTAGAACTCCACCCAAAAATGCGAAAGATGCCAAAGGCTCCATGAACTCCACTTAAGGCGAGGCAAAGTCGAACAGCTGGTTCTGGCTCAGCGGCAGGTGGGCCACGCGTATGTTGCCATGAAGATTCCCGAACTAAGTATAGAATTTAGGGCATAGGGGTCCAGTATCAACTGCTCCTCCGCGAGGTTCTCAGAATCAAGCGCATGCTCTTTAGTGTCTATACGAGGGTTTGCGTTTTCTTCATGAAGACTGCGACGTAGACAGGATGGAGCTTCTCGGCGTGGATTGCAACACGTATCACCTCTCATTTTCGTTTATGGCCCCTGTACAAGCGCGCGCACACACACACAGTTCCGCGCAACACACCCTAGCCAGATCATACCTATAACCCCGGACCAAGCATGTGCTTGTCAGGGCTTCGTTCGCCTGGCCCTTCAGCATGGGGTGCCGTTGGCCTGGCCTGTTTTAGCGTTGATGGTTTGGGATGTACGGTTGACAGTTTGTGGCATTCCAAAGCGCTTAATGGTTAAGATTGTGGTGTAGGGCGTAAGGTTCGAAAATTGGCGTTTACGATTTTAAAGTTTAGGGCTGCAAATGAGACGTGCATGGGCTTAATAATCAAATTTTTCGGGATTAAGCTTGAAGGTTTGGGGTTTGAGGTGCACTAAGGTGTACGGTTGAGGGCTTAAGGTCAAAAGGTTTTGGGCTTCAGGCTGAAGGTGTGTGATCTGAGTGATAAGCGCAGGGCTTAGTTTTAGATGATTTGGGCGTAAGAATTATTCCCAGTTCAGGGTTTCAGGATGAATCTTCAGGGAGTAAGGTTACAAGTTTGGCGTTTCAGCTCTGCAGGCGAGGGCTCAAGGTGTATAGGTGGCACCGTGGCATGAGTCTGCTCTCAAAGCATGCAATACATACAGGGGTGGTTGTCAAACTTATGGTCCCTTTTTGGGTACCCTAAATATTAGGTGCCGTACTATAATACGGACCCAAAAAGGGACCCTGATTTTGACAACCACCCACACGCATGGATCTGAAGAGTCACAACAGTAACATGATAGCTGAAGGGAAGCAGCAATCTACGGATTTGACATCATGTAAGCTTTCGGCATGACACGGGATGCTATCAAACAACACAAAGGCCTGCAACACGAGACCTAATACGAACAAATCAGCAGGGCTGTGATACACCTGCAGACCCTGAAACTCCAAAGCGCTGTGCGATGACACAAACTAATCAAAGCACCAAACTTCTCCAAGTTATGTGCAGGCGATGTTTCGGAATAGAGCGTAGGTTGGATATGGATACTCGTGTATATGGCCACAAAAGAGCCCGTCCCGAAGCCCACAGCGGCCTGATATCAGCCGGAGCCATGGCGTTGGATCTGCAAGGGCCAGACTCCACGGGGTCGAGGCAAGCACTGAGCCCTGTCAAATCAGGCCAAGATCAGAGGTCCGAATATCCGGATGCTGCAGGCTCAGGGAATTGGATCTTTTTGCTGTGCTGTTGAAAGAGGCCCAGACCACCGTTTTCCCAGCGGCTAGCGGCACAGAAACCTGACGGCAAAAAAGCCAGGAGGGGCTTTGTTGATCGCTTGTTCGAGCTTCGAGCTTTTGAGTCACGGCCAGCAATCCGGCAGCATGGGATTCGAGTCGGCTACCGCGTCACGAGACTTTACAGGGCTTAGGGTATGTACTTCTGCTTCACTGCATCCTTGTCTGCATCCTCTGAATCTTGTCCCTGGTTGAATCCTACGCAGTTTGCCGATCCTACGTCCCATCGATTGCTAATCTCTTGCAGAGCACGATTCCAGGTACTGCTGCTATAAAAGTCCTGCGAAAGCTTGCACGCTGTTGCTAGCCAACCCCTTACTAGTAGTATCCCGTCTGCACCTAGATTAACCTACCACCTAACGCCCGAAGCCAGAGCTTAGGACTGTTTAATGCTGAGGTTGGCAGTAGCGATGCCGGAGCTGGGCTGGAGTGTTTGGGCCTCATGCAGCGGTCCATTCGTTCACAGTCGTTGGGTTTAGGGTTTTAGGGTTCTGGTTTTAGGGTTGAGGGCTTTAGGGTTTAAGATTTAGGCTTCTTAGCATAGTGCCCAGACAAACACGGCTCTAGGCAGGCAATCGCTGTCGCCATCGTGGCTACCGTGAGCATAAACGCCAGGATCGCAGCAGCAGTGACATCTTCTTAATGGTCGTGATCACCAGCAATTGTCATCAGCATCAGAACCGTGGCAAGAACAGGAGGACCAGTAGCCAGAGCATAGCAAGAGCCATCAGCATCAGAACAGGCAAGAACAAAAGGACAAGTAGCAAGCGCACTCACAGCAATGAGCCATCTTCGAGATACTGTCATAGTCAGAACACGATTCTCCCGATGCATCTGTTCCCCAATTGTTCAGGATGATTAGACAGTGATGCCGCCGCCAGGCCATCAGTGCACGGCACAACTCACCATCATCGCCTTGTCCCTCATCTTCATCATGTTACATGTTCATGTTCCCCTAAATCTGCAGAAACACCATAAGTGGCTCATAAGTGGGTTTGCAGAGGTGTGCGAGCCGCTGTTCATGCCTCTCCTGCTGGAGCTTGAGGTGCGAGCCCGAGGACCTTTGAGACTAGTCGCAGGGTTGAGGGCTGTTAAGTTGTTTCTCAATTCAATGGGAAGGCACCATATGGCATGAGATGGCCAGTTTACGCAGCACAAAAGGATGGTAGGGTATGTAATGGCTGCTGGCGCGTGGTGCCTCCAGCTTGGATATCGTGGCCGGAAAGTAGAACTGTATACAAAAGTGATATCTTCCGACACCGATCAATGCGACGACGTTTCTTGTTATGTTTTCATGAAACCGATGTCGCTGCATGTTCTTCAGGTAGGTATGCTGGCATGTCACGCCAGTACTCATGTATGTATGTATGTATGTATGTATGTAACTCTATCATCTATCTGTCTTGTCTGTGTGCCTTTCTTGATCTGTCTCGTCAGCCCCGTGAGGCGTACAGACAGCACTGACAACATTTGTGTGGCAAGGCTCCGTATTGCGAAAGAGATTCCTGGCATAAACGACACAGGATCTGCACACCGAGGTTCCAGATTCCCTGCTCGCGGTTTGCTGGGCCTTCCCCTCAGTTGTTGGAGCTGGTTTCAGCACGGCTCCATGGGATTTTAGCCATGGGTTCTGTATGCAGCCCTGAGCTTCGCAAAGGTTCGCTGCCAAACCCCAAGAAAAACCTGACGCCTAAACCAGACGGCACGTCACACATCCAGCAGTGCAAAGACCAGGTGATAAGCCCCGCTGCGGGATTAGTTTTGCAGCCCTGCGTCGGCGCTTTGAGCGACAAGTATGGAAGGACCTGAAAATTCGGGCGCTCAGAGGATTCCAAGTTTGACTTGGGATGTAGGTTTCAGAGTGCAATTTGGCTGTGGGAGGAGATTGGGGCTGGTTCATGGTCTAGGCAGTATTCTGGGTTTAAAGCTGTTGCTCGATAGCAGGTAGGAGGTTTTACACAAAGATGTATAAAGACAATCCGTACCTGTCATTCCAGAGTCCTGCACAAGGAGACCCTTCATTCTGCTCTTTGGGTTCATGGCAGTTGTCGGCCTGACAGACCCTTGGCTCCTGAAGCAAGCGTGGCTTGCCAACTGATCCTTCCCTTCCCCCTTCCTCCCTCTCCCATTTCTCACTCATGTGCTGCATGTTGTTGTTTTGCAAACCATGTAATTAGGTAGGTTTTGCATATGCATATATTTCTACATATACACATACTCATCTATGTTTCTATGTAGATTTGGACTGGAATACACTGCCAGGTCACACCGCTCCTTGCCGAACTTGCCTCGAAGGCAGGTTGGGAACGCATGATGTATGTGACTTCAACTCGGCATTATCGTGTTCGAACCATGAGTGCTGAAAATTGAATATCCGCACATGGCTTGACATTGAAAACGCAATCGATGTGCTTTGAGGCCATCGCGCGGCCGTTGGCCATCGTAGCGTTCGGTTTGGCAGATGTCAGCCCGGCGCTTATAGAGCTGTTACCGGCTGGTGCTCAAGGCAGGGGTAGCCTCCCGTTTTGCAAGTGATTAAGGTCATGACATGCTCGTAACTCCAACCCGGGCGCAGATGAACGACGTCTTCGACCCTGACGCGGCAGAGTCGCGAAGTGCAGTGATTGGTGGAATCGCCAAGACATTCGCTATGCTGTGTGCAATCCTGTTGCCGAGAGCTGGAGCTTTTTTGACAGTCGCAGTTGTGGCGTTTTTTTCAACGACAGCACAGCTGTTTTGGCGACCGGAGAAGGCGGCACTTGCGATCCAGGACAGCCTCGCGGAGGTTCAACAGGAAAATGCGGCCTCGGAAAGGGTTCGCACGTATCCAGCCGGATTTTGGCAACTCTGGCTCCTTCAATGTGCGGGCTGGCTGTCAGTACCTGGACCCCAAAATTATGTAAAATAATAGCCTTTTTTTATAGGTCTTGGGCCATTATGTTACCTCCTTTGGGGGTTTAGGTATTATTTTACCTCCTCTTGGGGTTTAGGTATGCACATGGAGCTTCTACTTCACAAGCGTCTGGGCGGAAGTCAAGGGAGCTCGCTCCAGCAGAAGTCCCGGCTTCGAGCCGGCCGTGCGGGAGGCCACGGGGTACCTTTGTCATAGCTGGGCAACAATTTACTTAAACCCAATAAGGAATAAACATGTACATTTTTATGGGTACTTATAAACCCAATAAGGAATAAAAATGTACATTTTTCAATCATATCCCAACTATGAACTAGGTACCTTCTGCTTGGGTCTTTCGTCTTCTTGGGAGCTGGAGGGGCCCTCTCAAGACTCTCAAACCTTTGCACAGAGCACACCTCACTCTGTGCTTCTGTTGTTGTGATGATGTTGACTCTCGTGGTGCTGTGCATGGCACACTTGAACAGCATACTGCACTGGCTGGCAGCAGCTTTGGTGGTTTTCGCGATGCCTGTGGCCTACCAGATACTTGCAAACACTCCCTTCAAGTGGTTAGAGAGCCAGCCGGGCTTTGACGAAACTCAGCGCGGTTGGCTCACAGGGATCTTCAACACCACCCTGGCGGTGGCGCAAGCATTTACGGCTGTCCTCAGCGGTCCGATCGTGGCGGCCGCCGGGGGCCGACTTTGGGCCGCGTATGCAGCAGCCTTTCTCTTCGACGTACTGGTCCTCGTCGTGGTGCTGGTAATGAGGCTCCGGTCCCTCTCCTCCCCCCGGGAGCTTAGCGATCTGAACCAGCGATGAGGTTGTGGCGGTATGGTGGAGAACGCCAAAGACTCGTCTGATCAAAACCTGCGACGCTCGTCACGGTGACGGCGGAGCCAACCAAACGTGCAGCAGCCCATGACCTAGGATTCCAATCGAGGCAGATCTCGCAACGCTCCGATCTTCGGACCAGCTTGGGGTCGTCAGGGTTCGCGGGTCCAGTGAGAAGGCTTGGCTTGTCCTGCTCAGCTGCCGGTACGGAAGTGGCATAGCTCGCCTCCGCGGAGCCGATGTGCAGCGAGACGCGAAAGATGTCTGTCTGCAACAGTCGTAGTTGCACCGCTTCTGTGGCTGGTGTAGGCAAGCAGAAGCTCCGCCCAAGCTGACTTAGTGGTCTACTGCGCAGCCGCTCCAAACTACGCGAGACATGTGCCTCGCAAAGCCAGGATCGTCCCAGTCTACGTATTTGGCGAGGCACAGCTGCCAGAGCCCGAGCTTCTATACGAGAGGTATGGAGGCCGCTGTACACGAGGATTCATCTCAGGTACTCGCACATGCTAAATAGTGTAAGAATTCAACTAGTGCGGCCGGGACCCTCGAAGGCAAAAACGTACAGAATAGTCTCATCCTGCGGCTTCGGCATTGGAGCGTTTGCTGCTTGCTCGCTTGAGCTTTGGGCCCTCGGTTATGAGCTAATGTAGGAATCTGATTAAGAAATCCTGGGCCTATAACCCCAAAATAGTAGGATTCATATAAAGTCTCCTAATGAAGGCCCAAGGTTTCTTAATCAGGTTCCTACATTAGTGAAGTCTTGGCGCCTATCCGATTCGCATCTCCGGCCCTAGAAGCTCGAAGTTTCTCAACCTACGAAATCCTAAAACCCTAAGCCCTAAACTTCCTAAACCAAAAAAAACTTCCTAAACCCTAAACCTTTCACCGGTAGGAAGGGGAGGTCGCGAGCCGGCTCAAGGCGACAGCGCGCCTCCAAGGACGAGCAGCGAGGAGTCTCACAGCCTGCGGGTCTTCCGCAGGTCCTTAGCTAAAGCCGCACGATTGGCGGTAGTCAAAGTCTGCCAATCATGTTGAATGGCAGAATCGTGGTGCCAGGGGCCGGTATACCATCGAACATACTGCTGCAACGGTGTTGTTGACCCTTGTCGAAGAACGGCTTGCAAAAGATCTCCCACAACACGTGGCTGCTGAAAAATCGGACGGCAGGGTAAGCCATGCCGTGCAGTAGCAACCTGAAGATGCCGAAGCGAGAACACCTTGTTGCGCTTGGGGCCCCATATCTGCAAGCGACTCAAACGTTCCAACTGGCGAACGGCTTCAACCAAAACATGGGTCCATGTTCTGGTTGTAACCGGTCGCGGCCATGTTGTCTGGGGGACTGAAACCGACACTGCCTGTTCAAGACTCTCCGGCGGGACCACTCCTGTCGAGACCACGAAATCCACGAGCAGCTCCAAATAGGTGACACCATCAGGCGCCCGGCTTCGTGGTGGGAGCGACTGCCACCGTAGGGCTCGCAGCCACTTCCACAACGGAACCGTGAACCATGGCGGCCATGAGCAGGCCAACATAACAGGGCGCATCAAGTCAGGCAGATTGCTCACGGCGGACTGCCCTTGGTTCAAACAAAGCCAGCTTTGAAGGCCGCGTCGCTGTTGCTGTGCACCGGCATCATCATCCTGTCCTGCAGTCGGCAATTCTTCGGATCCCAAGGGCGGGGCCTGCTGAAGTCGCAGAAGGCGACTCTCTGCAAGGGACAGCGCAAGCAGATACCGCCAGAAAAGAAGTAGCACATCTGTCTGGCTAGAAACATGTTGCGCCGCCGCATCCAGTATATTGGTCACGAGGTCCAAGTCAGCGCGGACCGCCGCCTTTGCAGCTAAGTCAACCACATGGTTCCCGGCCGCATGCCATTGCGCCATGCCAGTCAGAGTATCAAGGTTCTGATGCGATGCAACTTTCCGCAGCCGGATGCTGGGGGCCCTCCAGTGCAGGAGCTGGACACTCAAGTCATAGTTAGGATCCCCCGGGGACGCACTGCCAGCCTGCCACAACTGGAGGACGTACTGGCTATCAGTCCAGATTTCCAAGTCGACAAACCCGCCGGTCCATGCAGCCCGTATAGCTTGTAACACCGCACACAACTCCGCTCGGTTAATGGTCTGGTGCCCTGGGACGAGGCCCTGGACAATGACAGTGAAAGCAGTGGGCACCACTGTTTTTTCTCGCCACTGTTGCAGCTGCTCCAGTGCCACTGCATCGTCAGCACTGGTGTCCAAGACCACGGCAAAACCTGCATGGTGCGCCAAGCTGACCCCTGAATGGCGACAGGAGCCATCTGTATACAGGCGCAGGAAATTCCTTCGACGCAACTGAGGCCATACAGCAAAGTTGACAACAGGTTCAGGAAGTCTGCGCGTGTGAAAAACCAGCTGCGGGACCTCCAAATCATCCGGCAGTGTTGTCACAGGACAATGAACCCAACTAGGCCACCTATCCAAAACCAGCCGCAAATGGGGCAACCAGTCAGCTCTGACCTCCTGCAATGCAGGGCACTCAACAACTTTGTGGTACTTGGTCTGACGCTGACCACACAGCGGGCAACTACCATCCGTGTCATCAGCCCACAGCCGCTTGGCAGCTGCCGACGAGAAGGACCCTGTGACATGTCGCATTATCACAGCCTGTTCAGGGCCTGTCAACTTGGCCAGCAGTCGCACCACTGGCGGGGAGTACACTGGAGAAGCCTGTGACAGGCCGTTACGGTGGGACACAAGGCCCTGCACATGGAGAGCCCAACTGCGATGCAACAATGCGCGCACTTCCTGCATGGAACAAGTATCCAACCGAACCCTTGAATTATCTAATCCCTTGAGACACGTATCAGCTTGCAAAGTGAGACCCAGGCGGTCCAAAGAAAGCCGCAGAGCCGTAGCCGGGCCCTGCGCGCGGCTAGGGCCTTGTTCTGCTGTAGCAACTTGCAAAACCTCAAGGGCAGTCTCAGGGTCAAAAAGGCAGGCCCGCCGGAAAGCACTGAGCTGGCGCTCCAAGCAGTAGACAAAAGGATCCTGCACAACCTCTGCAAGCGCAACCATCGCGAGATGAGGACTCATGATTTTGTATTGTCCAACAATGGCCCTGGCAGCCTTTCCACGCAAGTTGGCAAGTTCTGCAAGAGAGTGCAAATGACCTTCGGATCCATAAAGGCACTGCGGCCAGACGGCCGTCTGAACCAGTTGCGCCTTGTTTAGGACAGCACGAGGTTGTTGGCGGAGCCGATCCAGACGATCGTATCCCGCTTGCAGGCGGTGGTTTCGGCTTAGGCGGTGCCCGTGGCGGTCAAACTTAAAAGCAACCCCCAAGTCACGGACCTCAGTGACCAGCTTTGGCAGGCACCCTTCCGGGAACAAAGCAGTGGCTTCAGTCCGCCACCACTTGCGGTCAGGTCTTTTGGTGGCCCAGACATAACTTTTGGTAAAGTCAATGGGCAGGGCGAGGCAGTCCAGGAAGGACAACGCTTTCGGGATCACGGCGGCAATCTGATTACGAGACTCACTCAGCCAGCACCAATTGTCGACATAGCTTTCGTAGTCAACTTGGGGCGTGGCACAGGCCTGAGCCGCTACATAGCAGATGCCCGCCATTACCACCACGCTCATGGGATCTCCTTCCGGAGCTCCATTGTAGCAGGAAAGATCAGTTGAAAGGCTGCCACAAAACACTGTCCGGCGACTGTGCCGCCTGAGGCAATCCACCCAAAATGCAGCAACATCAGCTGGGACGCCCAACTGTCGGAGTACGGCACCCGCCGGGGCCCAACCTATCTGGTTGAAACACTTGATGATATCAATTGAGAGGCCAAGCAGAGGCGAAGAGGACAACAGGGAAGCCTCGATGCGCCATTGTTCTCTATAACTGACATCTCGGCATGCTCGTTGGGGCATGGAGCCAGCGATCGCCCGCGGGAAATGGGGGGCCCATTGGCGCAAGATTTGCTTTGCCATGACCGACGCCCAAACCCTATAAAGACAGGAGAAGATGACAATGGGCCGTGACTGATGCATCCCGCACGGCTGCTCAACCTTAGACAACACCCCAACTCGTGTCTGCAGCATGTGTGGTGGTAGTCCACACGTCACCGCCTGATGAAAGATTGCATTCAGGACCTCCAGGGCACAATCAGGTAGGAGTTTCAGGTCCGCTGGGGACCAGCCACAAACCCCAGTAGCCTTGCGATTGGCCATTTTCTGTATGGCCTGTCGCCACAAATCCGGCGCAAAAGAGCGAAGTTGAAGCGGGGGAAGGCTTATATTCAGGTCAGTCAAGATATCGCGAAACCGAGGCCAATCTGCCAGGTCATCATGCGGAAGCGCAACATCACGCTGCCAAATTGGCCCCCAGTAAGCAACGAAAGCCTCATGAAGCTCATCCGCGGTACACGCGACACTGGTCTGGCTGAGCTGGCCCTCAGCAGGTAGCCACAAGCCCTGCAGCACAACTTCGGCCCCCTCTGCAGATTTGACCTGGCAAGCGCTTGCTCCAAGCTGTGCTGGGGAACCCGCGCGGAAAGCACAGGGTTTATCCAAGCGATAGGCACGGCAACCCTCGGACGCAATGTCAGAGGCCACAACCGGACAGGTCACGGTCACCGGGACCTCAACGAAGGCTGGCTTTGGTGGAGGGCGAAGGGCCGCATAACCCTTTCGCGAATGGCCATCCGTCTGGTCCAACTGGACATGGTACTTGAAGCTGTCAGCTCTGGCACGCGCCTGTTGTCGTACCAGAGCATCGCGATCATATCGGACATACTGCAGCAGATCACGGAGCCAGTCAAGGTCGGGCAAGCATTCCGGAAAGTGATGAAAACATGCAACCTGCAGTACCCACTGTGGAAAGGAAGGCGCGTACCCTGCAGCTCGGCCAATGGCGGCCCATTCCTGGCACAGTTGCCGGTGCTGGACGCTGGAAAGCGGTGCTCCGGTGCCGTTGGCTTTAACAAGGCCCTTACAGAAGGTATGTATACGGCGAACCTGCCGGACACGCAAACGACCAAGGACAGATGTCACCTCGACATCGGGGTCGTAGCCACCTCCTCGGTCCGGGCGGGCCAAGCTAGGAAGTTCACTCTTCACCAACCGGCGCGGCTGGCACCGACCGCGATAAGCCTTGGCAAGGAAACGGTGGGGGCATCTCACTGGATCCAAGTGGTGCTGACGGCGCAGCGTCACATCCACAGCTCGCTCCGTCGCAGTAGCAAAAGTTTGCAATGCCAGGTCCACGGCCTCTGGCGAGTCACACTGATCCGCCAAGAGGCGGAGCTTCTCACAAACAGGCTCAAGAGAAGCCTGCAGCTGGTCTTTTTGCACCCCCAACTCCGACCAGGAGCGCGGCAGCCTCCAGACATGCCTACAGGGTTTGCAATGGGGCAGCCGAAGTCGGAAACACAATGGATCATGCGCGTCGAAAAGATGGCGTCCTGAGAGCACCCAGGCCCCCTCCCACAATGGCACCAATGAAGGATGCAGCAGGGCTGTGTCATGTCTCGTGCTGTTCTTGCAGGTCGGAGGAAGGGCCACGCCCGTGCGCTTGAGGTGAAATTGAAAAATCTCCTGATACCCTAGTCGAGCGAAGCACTGACCGGAGGGCAGATCCAGCGGGCACAAATTAAAATCTCCCGCAATTATGCACGGCATCGCATTCTGTGTGGCACGGTCCAAGGCCGCCCGTAACAAGCTTTCATTGTGATCCTTCGCATCCAACATGGCAGCCTGATGGCCATACACAATGATGAAACGGACCTCCAGGGGCCCGAGGCGTACAAAAGCTTCAGCGATGCGACATGTCGCCGCAATGTCAGCCGGGAGGCCTGGCCGGGAACACCTGGAAGGGAGCCGAGCAGCGAGCGCCACCCCAGCAGCTAGGCCACGCAAATTAGGCGCAGCAGCACTCCCCTTACAATGTGAAGCCACTGGATGGCCCCAGTGCACACGGTAGCCATGTTGTTGCATGGCGCGGCCGGTGATGGTTTGCACCTGCTGGACAGCCGAAGTCTCAGACAAGGCCAGCACGTCGGCCTGAATCTCACAAAACAGATTTGCCTTATGCAAGACACTGGTCGGATTGACCACGGAGATCACGCAAGCATCCTCAGGAGAGGGCGACGGTGGGAGTGAATTACTCTGGGTATCTCCAAAGTACGACGTTAACAAGGTCTGGCCAGGACCAGGATGGGAAGCTTCCCCAATGCGCTCTCCACAGTTAAGCCGGGGGCGCCAGATTGGAGGAGGAAGGTGTGGAACAAGAGGCACGAGCCATCGGATAGCCAGACAGCCCTGACAAAGATTCAGAAAACCGGCAACATCCCGGAAAGGTGAAGCCAACCCCCAAAGTGAAGGCACAGACTCGAAAGGCACCGGACACTGTAATCGACAGAGGCGGTGGATGCGAGTGGGTGCTAAGGTAACGCTCTTATGGCACTGTTTATGACAGATCCCACTAGCACGGCTAGGGAACAAACTAATTTTGCAACGTGGGCGACATAGCCGTGGCAGCCACAGAAGGGCCCGCAACCAGGTGCGCCGATCGCTAGAACAGAAGATGGCAGCAGGGCACAGGGAACTAGCCAAACCGCACCATCGTACCCCCGACGGCAGTCGTAACAAGACACTGCCAGCAGACCCCAATGCCACCCGTGTGGCATGCAGCAACAGTCACAGATCATGGTCGGCACTGGTCCGTGCCTTTTTGTTCTCAGTACTTGCAAGAAGCAGCGCCTTCAGCTCAGCCATGCCAGCAGCAACTTGCTGCTCTTGCTGCGCGCTAGCAGCACGAAGACTGTCAAGATTGGCCTGCATTTGCTGTTGCAATCCTTGGCCCAGTCCCTGGACCTCGACACGAACCGTCTGGAGCTCATGGCGCAATTGTGCCTTGTCGGACGCTTGGCTCTGCAAGGCCGCAGCCTGATCAGCACGAAGAGCCTGAAGGTCCTGCTCAAGCCGTGCCAGCTTAGACTCCTGATCATGCACCTTAGCAGTGAGCTGCTGGTCAGCAGTCTTTGCAGGCGTAAAGGGAGTCACCGATAGACCCACAGCCGGGCCCTGCTTGGACTTGTAAGCGCTCCAAGGGTCACTGTGCAGCCACGGATCTTCTTCACCATGGTCACGCGCAACAGGGCGGCGTGGCATGGAAGGAAGGGGCCCTCCCGCTTGCACGATCGGCAGTTTGGCATCCCTGCTTTTCACAGGAGAGAGGAGCACCGGCACATCATTGAAATGTGCAGTGGAAGCAGGAGGCTCACTCGCGGATCCAAGCAACCAGAACTGTGGGCCCAAGGCCTTTACAACCTTCACTTGCCAACCCAGCTTCCCTGCCCATTGGCTGATTTCGTCTGCACTGGCAGCATGCGGGAATGGGCCTCCTTTAAACAAGAGCCGGACATCTACTGCAAGCGGCGTCGGAGCGCCGGGGCGCAACTGCCCAAAGACCTTGGTGAAGTCAGAAGCAGGGACCCGGAGGCCAAGCTTGCTGCGGCCCCGGACAAGGCCATGCTGTTCTGGGACCACCACCGCCTGCTTTTCTAATTCATGCCTGGTGCCAGGTAACCACACCACCGACCATCCAGGCAACACCTTGCGGTCCCAGGTGCGGGGAACGACAAACACGTGATTGTACCCACTGTGCTGGAGGACCGCTTTCAAATCCGCTTGCACAACCTTCGCAAAGAACTGGAAAGTGTCCGCATGGCTGGGCATGCTTGGGCGGCCCTTGGCACGGTAACCACGTCCCCGCGGGTGGGACAGCGCCTGCTGAAGGCCCTTAGCACGGAACTGCTGCACCACTGTGCGCACCGGAGCTTGCACCGCATCACTCCACTGGAGGCCCTGAGGGCAATCATCAGAATGCATGGCGAAAGAACAGCAGACAGTACCATCCACGGCAACCTGAGTTCCATGCGGTATGCGGGGGTGCACCTCAGTCTCCCCTACATTGTGGTAACATGCTGCAAGGAGATGACAATGTCCTGTGGCCACGTGCCTGACTGGCACACTGACCTTTCCAGCACAAGTGGCTTCATCCGGACAGCAATGGCCGGGTACAACCACACAGAGCGCTTCTGAGCCCATGTTGCGAAGCAAGTCCAGATCATGGCCGTTGGCCTCTGAGGGATCAATCAAGATGGCCCCAGTGCAGCCAGCCTGCAGCTGCGTCAAGATGGGGACCGGCGACTCATCCATTCCGCACCAAGTCCCTTCCTCAAGCAAAAACTCCGAGGCCTGAATGTGCTGTGTGCGCGCTAAGCGCCGCCGGCGAACAGCCGCCTGGATGCGATTGGCCGCACGCTCCGTACGGTTGTCTCCTTGAGGCAAGTCCTTGCCAACGGCATGGGCCGATTTGGACAATTGTTGCCACCGCTCCTGGGTACTAGGCAAAGACATTGCCTGCAGACACGCAGTGGCACCCAAAGCCGGGACCAAGGCATCCGTGGCAGTGGAGGCCGCCAAAAGAGGCACCCCCCGATCCAAGAAAAGAGAGGCAATCCGGGATTTGGCGAGCTGAACGTTTTCATCCTTAACTCCACCGCCTCTAACCTCAGGAACCACTGTCAAGACCGGCAAGCCTGTGGCACGGTTGCGATGAAAGGCTGCATCCCCAAGCTGCTCAAAAACCGTTGTAAAATGCAACCGTCGAGGACCAGAAAATATTTGTGCTCCCGGCCAGCACCCAGTCGCATTACTAGCAACCCTCCAGAAATGTTCCAGTTTGTCCGCGTTGATTCGGGGCGCTAGGGATAGCTGGCCCAGCGTGCGGGTGCCAACTTGAAGCATGAAAGGGCCAATCAAAGTAGCCTCTGCCGCAGCGGCATGGGCTCGCACCTGGGAAAGGAACAACAGATCCCTGAGATAGTCGGGCACCTCGCTGGCAGGCACTCCTGGACAGTCAACATTGGGCCGAATGCTGAATTGGAGCGGAGCATCTGCTGGGACACCATCACCAGTCGTGAGCATGGTCCAGCCCAGGCACTCAAGAAGGTGGCACGGCGCCTGCAGGAACCAAGCAACAGCATGCTCAGCCGGTACATGCAGAAGAAAGCCCTCGACATTGCTCTGCAGGTGACAGTCTCGGATCTGGCCCATTCCAAGCATGGGGCCCGCAAAATAGATGTCCTGGGCCTCCGTGGCAATACAGACAAGCCGGGGAAAAAGCATGACATCAGGCACCGGCGTGCCGAAGCAAGTCAGACACATCACTGACTGGGCCGCAGGATGGCGACAGCCATCAAAGACATACTTCAGCTGATGGTAAAAATCCGGTGTACCCGGCAGCACCACATAGAGGCCGGCTGGCGTGCACAGACAGAGCGGCTCACGCAGGGGACGGTCCCCAACTATGTCAGCAGCAAGCCGCAAGTAAGGCGGTTGATCCACAGTGACCACATCCGCATTCAAAGGGGAGGCATCCTCACTCACAGTCGGCGGTACAACGGCCTGCGTACCAAGAACCTCAAGAACCTGTGCAACCGACACGTGTGATGAGAACCGAACCTGGAGGCAAGCTGACTCCTGCGCTTCACTAGGCACAGCTTGAACCGTGACCTGATGAAAGACCTGGCCGCGACTATGCAGGTGCAGTTCAATTTCTTGGCGTAGGTGCTTTCGTGCCAACATAGCCCCAACTTCATCAAGGCGAACCATCAGCCACCCCGTCTTAACCCTGAACAAAGCACAATTGGCACAGGTCATCCGGCCATTCACGCTGAGAGAAGCTGCCAGTGCAGGGTCAACGCGGTGCATTGGAATCAAGAGGCTTGTTGCATGGGCCAATGTAACGGCAGCCTGGGGCACTGCAAGGGAGTTACCAAGCTTTTGCATACATTGCCTGTCATCTTTTTCAAGAAAAAGCTTACGCTGTGCGCCGTGGCAGGACGCAATTTCGGGGCTTGCAAAGAACCTCACTGTCCCCCCAACCTGAAGCAAACTACAGAGCAAACCCTTCCTGGATAGCAGGCCCTCTGGCAATTCGTGTTGATAGTGATATGCCGCCATGAAGGTCTTGCATTGCTGGGCAGGACTACACAGCCTAAAGCGCTTCATATTCTCAGGCGAGGGCTGCATGCTGGGTGGCAGGTACCACGGGTCAAGGTATTTGCTTAGCATTTCCTCTGACATGCGGCAAGGCTGCAGCAGCTTCTCTGGCAACACAGGAAAGTAGGCACGCATGCCGTGCAACGATGGGCGCGACACCTTAGTCCACGTGATTACCTGCAGCGGCTTTTGGGCCTCAGGGCCAAGGTCCGCATGGACCATGATCAACATGCTTCGTCTGCGCCAAGTAGGCAGAACGTCCGCCAACTGAAGGCTTTCCTTGAAGACACATTCATAACCTGCCGCCCTCCAGGCCTGCATGACCTCTGCAAAATCACTATGCTCACAGAACCCTGCAACCTCTTCCAAACACACAACCGGAACCCGAACTACGCACATAAGGTTTGCCAGCTGTATCAGCAAACGCCCATCTGGGCAGTTCAATCCTGCCTGTTGCCCTGCCGAGCTCCACGGTTGGCAGGGAGGGGAGCAAACTACCATATCAACTGGTTTAAGAGCCCAAGCAGTATTCCACCAAGTATGCTCAAAGTTCGCTGCAACAAAGACGGGGTTGTCTGTTTGCATGTGCTCCTCCAATTCCAAAGGAGTGTTGGCAACCAACAAATCAGGAAGCAAAACCTCCAGCGACTCTCTTAGGTCCTCTTGTATGTCCAGTAGCCAATCCATCTGGAGTGGGCACCCTGCATCCTTCAAGACCCAAGCGGCTTGCGTCCAGCCTGCGAAGCCCCCGCAGAAGATTTCCGCGGCATGAATGACGTCGTCATTTCGGTACCGAACATCCCCCGCCAGGAAAGCGGGGCTCCGAACACTGTCTAGGACGACAACAGTATCGTTGACCCTGACCTGTGTCCACAAAGCACGTATGTACCTACAGAAGACCCCCATAGAAGCCCACTGTGCCGAAGTCATACGCAATACCGCCTTTCGATTCGGATGTTCCAGAGCAATGGGGACCACGCTTCCATCCCTCAAAGTGGTTTGCAAATGTTGCAGAATATGCACTCGAACCAGGACGGACGACTCGCACTGAACCGGTTGCCCCACGATCTCAAGTTCAAAACACGAGGTTTCACCGTCGAGCGCTGTGGGTGAGGTATTCGCAAAGGAGTAGAGGCCCTGAAGCCGATTCCAAGTCTGTGTCTCCATGTGGTGACAAAATGTCGCGGCGCAATTCGCTCCTGCTACCCTACAGGAAACGACCCTGGCCCGTGTAGCCTTGCGCCAAAGGGCTCCTAAACCCTAAACCCTACGAAATCCTAAAACCCTAAGCCATAAATTTCTTAAACCCTACAAAATCCTAAAGAAGCCACACTTTTCTTCAAGTCTGGCAGGTACAAGCAGTCTCGGATCCTGATGGGCTTCCGATCTTGGGTGCAGCGCACTCTAGGCACCGGAGTTCAGGACCCTTGAAGTTTTGGCGGTTTGGGTTTCAGGTTTAGGATTTAGGGTTTAGGGTTTAGGGTTCGGAGGGCCATTGAAGTTTCGGGTAGTTGCTTTTCGGGGTAGGGTTTAGGGTTTTGGGTAGTTAAGCCTGGCATGAGATTCTTGGGGGTGCACTTCGGTCTGCTGTTGCTTTTCTGGGAAGGCCTGAAGCTTGTAGAGGAAGCAATAATTAAGAGCGATAGACTCCGATAGACACCCGCAGACCCTCATCCCGTAGCTGGGACTCTTCCAAGAAGGATGCGGTGGGTTTACGGCTTTGGGGGGGCTTTAGACCGTATGGGCAATTTTCTGTGAAGTTTGGAGAAGCTTTCTCCTGACAGGTGTCGCTCTCGTGATGCCCTACGGCCCGTGGGGCATGTTCCGTCCCTGGATGATGGTTGCGATCACAAGTTATCAGGGGGCAGTGCTGTCATTCATTCATCATTACCAATGTCTAGTACAAATATGTGACAAATACCAGTATAACGATACACATATATACATATACATGCATAGTTCATACAAACGCGGATTACAATGACACAGAAATGCAGATAAACAAAAATGCAAATGAATGGGTAGGTGTTTATTGCTTGTTTTTGCCCATGGGTGAGAGAGAGAAAGACAGAGATCACATGTGGTAATTAATGCATATGTATCTGTATATGCATATGTGTATGTATAGGTGGGTATAGGTACAAGTGCAGGAGTAAGGGTACGCATGTGTTTATATGTACAGATAGATAGATAGATGATAGATAGAAAATGTTCATGCTTATCTACATACTTGTATATGTATATGTATGTATATATACATATACACACATGCATATATGCGTATTTGAAACACGAGTGGTGTTATGGTCATATTGTTTGCTCCCAGGCCGTGGCAGAAGTACCCGGATCCTGTGCGGATCGTCGTTGGGAAGCCTTTGGCAATGCCAAGGCCCAGCTTATTGGGTTGGGGGTTCATAGCAGTAGTTTGGGGTCTTAGGGTACAGGGTATTGGGGGTTCCGACGCTTGGCTGTAGTTTTTCATTGGGAAGGAAAGCAACCATTTCACTAGCCGTGTTCAGAGGTTCCAGCTGCGCGAAACAAAACCCCTGCCTTCTGGACATATTCTCTGGAGCAGCTGTCCGGCTGCTTGCTTCGACGCGTTAGACTCTGGTTTCAGGATTCCGGACCCCAGCAAAGCCGATGTAGCGGAGCACCACTCCAAGCCGGCTTCTGAGGGATTTGCACGACCTTGTATACAAGTCAGGTCCGAAAGTATCAGAAACTTCCTTATAGGAACAAATGCAAGCTGAGGTATGTGGAGGAGCTGAGCAAGCTCTTCGAAACGCACAAGGCATCGGATCCTCCCTTACTGGGATTTTGGCACTCGTATCACGACGATGCTTCACAGGCCGGCGCAGGCTATCCAGACTCTAGCCTGCAGATCGCCATGAGCCGAGAAGTCGTGCCATGATAGGATGGGAAACCGTCGCGTATGTGCGTAATACTTTCGTACCTCCGATGATGTAGTAACGACACAGCACTTTGGTTGTATTCCACATCTACATATCCACGCTTGTACTTGTTTATATGTATTTTATGTATATGTGAGTGTATGCCTGTATGCAAACGAGCATTGCATACATTGGGGATGCAGATGATGCAGATGCATACAGTACTACACTGATACCAGAATCTCGTCGTCCAAGGTTTGACGCGCGCGCTTCGCTGCAACGCGAAGAAGAGAAAACAACCGCCGACCTTGGTGGGCTTCGGGGTTGAAGTGTCATGGACGAAGGGCGAAGTTGTAGGGCCTGCAGGCTTAGGGCTGAGGTTTTTAGTGCATCAAAGTCAGTGGCTCTGCCCATTTTACCACCAAGCTCGCGAAGCAGCAGCAGAAGCAAGCTCCCACAGCAATGCAGAAATCAGTGAGAATCATGTGCATGGCATCGTCAGCACAGCCCGCAACCTCTTTCGATTTCATACGAGATGTGTACGTGTATGTAAGTGATGCAGCTCGCGCATAGATCAGATGTAGAGCCCCGTAGAGCATCGGAGTACCCTTACCCCTGGCAAAGCCATGGAGGGCCCGCCAGATGCGGATGATCCCAAAAGCACCAGTGGCAAAGGCAAGGCTAAGGGCAAAGCACCTACGAAGTCTGCCGATTCTGGAGCCGCCAAAGGCGGCAAGAAGGGAGCTCCTGGGGGGAAGGGCAAGGGCGCACCGAGCCTTTCCAAATCTCCGGTGGCCCCCACGAAGGCGATGAAGCCGCTTTGGTGGAAGCGGCTGCTCTTTGGCACCGACTTGCAGCCGGGTGCCATCTGGGACAGGGTCCGTGACGAGACGCAGAGCCTGCCAGCAGAGGAACTCGAACATCGATTCGGCAACTTACCTTTGGTTAGTAGGGAATGGAAGAATGGTAGTAATAGTAGTTATAATTGTACCCCATTCCTCCATTCCCTACTAACCAAAGCTAAGTTATAGGATTACTAAGGCCCCTACATTATAGTACCCTTATAGATCCCTTATAGTAACCATTCCCTACTAACCAAAGCTAAGGCAAGGCCCAGGCCCTTTCGGCCCCTTCATCGAAGTCCACGGGGCCCACTGCTACCAGTGCCTCCGAAGTGATCCGGATCCGCACGGATGCGGTGCAGGACCGGGAGCCCCTAGGCAGACCTCTGGGCTTAGAGCTTATAAATCGGGGTTTAGGGTTTAGGGTTTGCTTATAAACCCTACCCTAAGCCGGAATAACCTACCTTTTATTCCACAGATTTGCAGTCCACTCGATTCCATTTTTGTCTATTCCACTCTTATTGAGTATCCGCGAGTTTTCTCCCTCTCGGAGATTTGTTGATTCCATGTGTATGTTTTCGGCTTTACTTGCTCTCGAAGATGTTTTAAACATCCTTTTCTTTACAGATTTATACATATATATATATATATATATATATATATATGCATACACATATATACTCTGTGTATATATATATATATGTGTGTGTAAGTATGCATGTACGTATGTATCTACGTAGCTATACATATACAAGCATATTTCCTTCAAGAGCCAGCCTAGGCTCCGGCTCCTGCCTTCGCCGGCCGAATGCGGTCTTGCCTTGGCAGAGCTCGAGGACGGGGAACTGGGGGTGTGCAGGTTAGGATTATTTAGGGTGCTTAGGGTTTCGTTAGAAGCTGCCCCCACCCTGTAACAGTGACTATAAGGATTATAGTAGGGCCCCTAGTATATTCCTATTATACCACTATTACAGGGTGGGGGGCAGCTTCGTAGGGTTTCTGCTGTTAGGGTCAGGGGTTTTGGGATTTTGGGTGTGTTTGAGGGGTACGTAGACGTAGACCTACTAAACCCTAGATAACCCTAGATTTTCGTAGGTTCTTATTATAAACCCTAATATGGGAGTTATAGGGACCCTGCAAAAAAGTAGGTTCTGGTGGGTTAAGGTAGAGGTTTGAGAAAGTGTTTCGGGCTGTAGGTGTGTAGGATCGAGGACCATCGCCTGGCTTTGGATGAGCTAGAGCGCCTCCAGAGGGCCGTTTGCCCGACGAAGAGAGAGCTGGAGCTCTTGGAGGAGGCCTGAAGTGTATAGTTTTAAGGGAGTTGGAGATTTAGTGTGTAGGGCTTTCGTAGAGCACCCTATTTAGAAGAACCCTGCCTCAAAAACAGAGCAACCGATATTCCGAACACTTGTCAACTAAGTCCTAGGTCTGGAGTTCAAAAGCATCAGCGTGTGCTTCTGTACATGAAGCAGGATTCATATTTAGGCTTGGTGAGTGTATACAGGGCTCCTCAGCGATGTGAGTGAGCGTACCTGTGGGCAAGTGCTTAAACTTACTACAGTAGTCCATAAACCCAGCTCAGAGCGACTCACGTCGTACGAGATCAGACTTACTCCCATATAGTCAGATCTATTACAAAAATATCAAACATGAATACTATAAGAACATACTGTGATATCCAATAGTATACTGTATTATACTTTCTTGTATTATAATGTACGATCACTTACGATAATGTGCGAAAACCTAATACTCGTTTACTATAATGCACGATATTCCGCTAAATTTTTTTGCGCCGTGACCAGGCCAAGAAGCTGCAGCCAATGGCACGCCTCGGCCGCAGGGAGGAGTGGATCCAAAACCATCTATGTACATGATAGTGTACGGTATCTCATAGTATAGTATGACAGTATATGATAGTATAAGATAATATATTCACCGTATATTGTAGTACATTGAGCCCTGCAACACCTAGACCCTCCAGGGTTTAGGGTTTAAAGTTTAACCCTGAACCCCTCAACTCCCACAAACTCTAAAGCCTTGAACCACAAATCCAGGAGTACTGGGAGCAGCTGAGATTAATCCCAAGCTTTGAGCAGCGCATGGAGTGCTGGCACTTCATCCGCACTTACCGCGAGCGTGTCGCGTGCCAAAGCCAGCACCTCGAGGACAGACCGGCGGCAACTGTTGATGGACAAAATCCTGCATTACCCAGTATAAGGAATGTATCATAGTTCCCATAGTTTAGAGTCCTTATAGTCATGCAGGATTTTGCCCATCAACAGCAAGCAAGAACATTGCAAGAACCTACTTCGACCATGTAAGAGCCGCGGTTATGCTACTTGTACCAGTCTCGACCATACTGCGCTAAAGCGTCATCGTAATATCCAGCAATGGCAACAGCAAGAGTAGCAGCAGCACCAACGACGACGACAATAAGACTCAGCACTGCTCTAAAGCCAGATAATGCTGACAATACACGTGACAGTAACAAGCAGACATAGCTTAACCACAACAACACGGCTCGTATTCGTCATCGTCATCATTCTTTTCTCATTCTCGGTCTTGTTGTAAGAATCGCAGTAGTTGCAGTAGATGTGGAAAGTGCATCATGGCCGGCAGGACCTCTTGGACATCTTTCAAAGTTTGGAGAAGTCCGAGGCCGTCCCTTCCTTGTTGGCGTTGATCCTCGCCACGGGCATCTGGATAAATCGGGGCACTGAGTTTGCGGTTGCCAAGGGTTTTGGCATCGAGTTCTTGGAGAAGCTTCATAGCATCAAGGGGGCCGATGGCAAAAGCCTACAGCATCTGCTGTTTGTGGTCTTCTTCGACTCCTTAGATAGCCAGGCAGCCGAGTTTGTGGAGGCACTTGGCCCCTTGCTTCAGAACGTCAGCCGCCGCGTCATCCAGGACTCAGAGGAGACGAGGATCAGCAAGGCAGTCCATCTGTCTTTGGAAGAGTGTGATGAGGCTGTGTCTTCCATTCATGAGGCGGCATTGGATATCCAAGCAGCTCTGCAGAAGTGCACAGAAAGCTTAGATCCGGCGGACCCCGTGAAGCTTCGCCTGCATCGGGAATTTGCGACGGCGACGAAGATGATCGAGAGCTTGGTGCAGCTGCGCAATTCTGTCAAAAGCCACTACGATCGTGTGCTCCAGTGGTTCCATGCACCCGGATGGAGGACTGACTTGATAAGACGCGGTCGGAGTGGCCTCCAGGTTGGGATTGTCAGCGTACGGTAAGGGAAGCATGTGCTAGAGCGGCTGCAGCTCACAGCAAACAGAGCAGGCATTGCTTAATGCTAGACGTGCCATTACCCACAGCTGCACCACTGGAGACCGCATCGACTCATTTCTGTAGGAGTGCCGACTTCTTTCTTCTCTGGGACAACTTCTTGTTGCCCGGCGAGCTGCTTGCTTCACGCTGCCGCGATGGGCCGTCTGCGGGTCCAGATGAAAGGCCCGGGTCTCTCGAGGTTGGGTAGGTACAGTTCTCTGCAAACTCCCAAAGTTCAAGCAAGTTGCTTGCTTCCCTGATGCTTTGAGTTATTTAGCAAACCGCGGGCTTCGCGCCTCTCATGATGCGTTTCGCTTCAGCGCTCTACGGCCCCTTCTTCATGAAGGTGTGCCTGAGCTCAAGCGCCCAAGAGTCCCAATAAGTCTCAGGCGGCTGCCGTTCGGGATGGCCGAAGGTCCCATAGGGTTTAGGGTTTAGGGATGTTTAGGGTTTAGGGTCCATCTTCCACTACTTCTCCGGTTCCACAAAATCTTACAAACAAAGCCCCGGTGCCCCAAAATCCCTACGTCTTGAACGCAATATGCGGCTTTAACAAAAGATGATTAACAACACTACCAGTAGTAGTAGTAGTAGTAGTAGTAGTAGTAGTAGTAGTAGTAGTAGCAGCAGCAGCAGTAGTAGTAGTAGCAGCAGCACTATTAATACTACGACGACTACTACTACTACTACTACTACTACTACTACTACAACTACTGCTACTACTACTACTACTACTACTACTACTGCTACTGGTGCGGCTACTTCTACGACGGCGACGGTCGACGAAGACGACGACAACTACTACTGCCAGGATTTATGAGAATACTGGTAATCGGAGTTAGCGCGATGATGAAGCGCGAAGCTTCGGAGCTTCCTTTCATGATAAGGACCCTCAGGGGGCTAGGGGGGAAGGGGCGTAGGGTGCCTTCATACCTATGAGAAAGGATTTAACAAGGCCTACTTAAGGAAGTATAGTCCCCTACCACCCTACCCCCGTCCCCCCTAAGGGTCCTATAATTTCAGGTCCCTGGATGTGGAGGCCACCTTCTGCCAGGCGGACGCCTTTGGAGTTTTCCCACGGCTCATCAGGGGACTTGTGCTAAGGATCTGGTCGGGGCAAGGACGGGTTCGGGGATCTCTGTATCGATCCTACTTGGAGGATCATCGGACTTAGTAAGTCAGGTTATAAGTACCTTAAATGCGCTTATAAGTGCTTATAAGTATAGTTACCTTGTTCAAAACCCCAGTTACTAAGTTCCATGATCCTTTAAGTATGTATCTATCTATCGATCGGTCTATCTCTGTCTCGCTGGATATATAGGTAGATAGATAGACAGATAGAGCCAAGACTCTGAGCCTTTGTCTCTCCAGCAATACCTTCTGTGTGTCTCTATCTTTGCGTGCATGCGCATTCTGGACATTTAAAACTTCCAAGTCGTCTGAATCAAGGGGGGACAAGACGGCATTATTCTCCTGAACCGCAGGAGCCCCGACCTCTGGAACGATAAACCGCTACATTTGTAGCCGCTGCAGCCTTAATCGGCCGTCAGAGACTTTAAACATTAAACCGCTGTAGTTGAGAAACACACCCCCAAATTTCAGGTGTATCCTTACTATGATTTAAGGTATGTTCCTTATAACCATGCAAGTCGTGTAAAACCCTGTAAGTCAAGGGTATAGTCCCTCGAATGAAGAGGTTTCAAAATCTCTGCGTGTCTGAAGCCTAAGCTCTAGACGCCTGGATGCTCAAACAGCGCAAAGCCTTAAGCACCCTAAAGCTTTGAAGGACGAAGCATTTGGTCTCACCGAGTTCCAGGAGCTCTGGCAGCAGAGAGCTTAAAGTGCTCTGACGACCGTTTCCGGGGGTGTGGGGGGGAGGAGCCAATGTAGGATTTGACAAGAGGTGTTAAAGCCGGGGTGGTGTATTTCTTATGTTCTGCAGTCACCTGCTGGCGGTTCTTCTCGTGTGTCTCGGGTCACATCGATGGCAGCCATGTGTGCCATCGCTAGACCACTGCCGCTACTGAAAGCTGAATGCAATGCCTTAGAAGAGACAAGAAGCTTCCGCTTCAGCTGTCCGCAAGTCAGACATTGAGGATCTGAGGTGCATTCTGATGCTGGCACATTACATGTACGTATATATATATATATGTATGTATGTATGTATTCGTCTTCCTGGTTTCACATGTCAAGCAGTTGTTTTATACATGTATATGTATATATGTGTCTGCATATATACATATATGTAGCAATATATGTACATGCCCAGACATCCGAAGTTTTCGCCATTCCCCCCGGACCCTCTGAGGTTGGAGGAGCTGGGGAGGCCAGTGCAGATGACCCTAAACCACTTAACCCGAAGCGCCTACTATAGAGGCCTGAGTAAGTACCAGTACTATCGTACTATTTTGGTGGTTCCTTACTATAAGTATAGTATAATGGGCCCCAAAACCCTATTCTAATGATTGAGGCCCTATATTAATTAAACCCTAAAGCCTCGACCCTGAACCTTCGGCCCTGTGGCGACTGGCAACCGGCAGGGACCTGGCAGAGGAGGGCGATCCACCGTTTCAGAGGCTCGAGCCACGAAGTGCGTGAAGTTGAGGTTCCAGGGTTTTGAGTTGTGTTTGTGGTGAGGAAAGCTCGTGTTTAACAACATGATAGCTGCGAGCACTAGCGCCCAGTCAAGTTGCAGGCAACTGTCAAGGTCACCCGCGAATGCCGAGGAGAGCGCAGCGCATCATCAGACATCGCCAGCGCCTGCATTTACTTATGCGTGTTGTAGCGGATTGGCTGTTATCGTTTTGGAGAACTTTTGCTTTGCAAGCATGAGAATGCCTGTTCATGGCTGTGTTTTGCACTTGGCACGTCGAGGTCATTACTTCTGTACGGGCCCCGTGGCGTACAAACCCTGGTTGAGAAATCTTATGGTACCCAGAACCCAGTATCATACCAGTAAACGGAGCTTCCGAAGATAGGGGACCTTAATATAGTACCCTGAATAGTAGGATCCTTACTATAAGGACCCCAAAATAAGGTGCCCCTAATTTTCGGAAACTCCTAAATCCTAAACTCTTTAACTTTATAGAACCCGTATTGATCCCTTTAAAAGAATCCTTGAAGGATCCCTTTAAAGGGTACCCCTAATTTTCGGAAACTCCCCTGTTTGGAGCAGGAGCCCGCGAGTCCTGCCTCGCCCAGCCGCGTCGGCCTGGCCCTCGTTTCAAAGCTCTAGACCCCCAACAAGGGATCTATAAGGGCTCCTTTAAAGGGATCTAGAAGGGCTCCTTTAAATCTAGAAGGGCTCCTTTAAAGGGATCTAGAAGGGCTCCTTTAAAGGGATCTAGAAGGGGTCCTTTAAAGGGATCTAGAAGGGCTCCTTTAAAGAGATCTAGAAGGGCTCCTTTAAAGGGATCTAGAAGGCCTCCTTTAAAGGGATCTAGAAGGGCTCCTTTAAATCTAGAAGGGCTCCTTTAAAGGGATCTAGAAGGGCTCCTTTAAATCTAGAAGGGCTCCTTTAAAGGGATCTAGAAGTGCTCCTTTAAATCTAGAAGGGATCCTTTAAAGGGATCTAGAAGGGCTCCTTTAAAGGGATCTATAAGGGCTCCTTTAAAGGGATCTATAAGGGCTCCTTCAAAGGGATCTTATAGTTTAGTAGGAATCGGAAAGTTTAATCATTTATTGCTGTGGATTATTTGGGTAGCAAGAAGCTCACTGCAGGAAGATCGCAGATGCTCCGAAATGAAGAATGGCACCTCCAGTCTTCGTATGTGTAACTATGCTAGAACTACACCCCGAAACTCCAAACTCCGAGCATTGCGGCGGTCATCGAACGGCTACTTCAAGGATATACGGTGATGGATTTGGGGAGGTTTTAGCCATACGGCCGAAGTAATGTGTTGCTGAATCCTGTCCCGCAGGCACTTGTGCTGCAAGCCAGCGGGCACAGAGTTGCCGAAAGGTTGGTGGTTGTCCCACATGGCGCATTCAGACGATTCCGCGAGACGCCACACCGAGTAGGAACATGGTGGCCGCTGGCAGTGCATTTCTCTACTACAATGGCTAGTTGTGCCTCCACACTGCGCTTCAAGGGTCTTGAGATGGTCTCAGTCCTGAACTGGCCGGCTTGGTTTCCCTCGCAGTGCCCGGCGATACTGGAGCACGTGGGAAGGCTTCGACGTCCATCAAGGCGAGTATCTTCTTCATAGGTACCACATCGCAGGAGAGAGGCTCCTGTCCGGCGATGTGGTATCTGTGAGGAAGATTCTACCGAGCCCTGGTTCCCGAAGCCGAGTTCCCATGACCACGACCGGATTATCAAATAGTAGAATGACGCCGAACTCTAAGGAGATGCCATCTGAGTAGAGCTGATGGGTGAGGGATCTGCTGGGTCATTTCCGTGCTTTCCTGCGCCTGCAGTGGATGGTGCCGGAGCCGGCCGAAAGGGTCTTCAGACAGATACGCCAAGATTTAAGAGCAGCGCGCTATGTGTACAGATGCGGGAATCCCTTTGTGGAGTCCTAGTTTTGTGCAGCGGTTCAGAGAAGCGATTTTGCAATGGACTGGGTTGGGCACGATCGGGCCCGCACTGCTGTGCAAGCTCGACGTCTTCTCACAGAACCTAGAACCTCAGGTCGAGCGTGGCCTGCTGAAAGGCTTTTATGAAAAGGATTTATAGGGATTTGCGGAGTGCAGCCTTTAGATTAGGTAAGAATTCTTTTCGAGCATGCCTCTCAATATCCGGAGTATTCTTCAGGTGATCGTGAGTGATTGTTGCTTGGGCCACGACAATTGACCGTGTCCATGGGTCACTTTAGTGCCATTCCGGTTATCGTCATTGCATGTCGGCCTTATATGATCTGATGGTCACAAGACCAATGGTCTGGGCTAAAGCTTCGCAGAACAGCAGCGCAACAGCCAGCATGAGCTTCTGCATCGGCCCCTGTGAACCGCCCCGTAGCGTCCTCCCTACAAGTCAAAGGGACCCTGCTTGGAACAGCCCTCTGCCAGCCGGGAGGCACGACCACCGCAGGAAGTGGCGGGGTGCATTTCAGCCCTCTCCGGTGGAGGACACAGTATGCACATGCTTGCGCAAAGGAAACAGCGTCAGTAAGCATGCTACGAATGGTAGTAACGACTGCTAGCATCAGCAGAGGAACAGGAGGAGGAAGAGCAGTCAAAGCAGAATAGTGAAGGACAAAGTAGTGGTGAGGAGGTTATGAAGAGGTAGCAGCAGTCGGTATGACAGCAACAGCCTACAATGGGCCTACATCATGAGTTCTATCAGTGATAATATTGATGCCCGACTTTAACAGCGTGGGTCCTGTTTGAGCCGCAACCCTAGTGCATCGAGGACGCTTGTGAACGAGGCGGACAGCCTTCACCTTACCATGCAGCAGGAGTTTTTGCAATCGTAGCAAGTCGCAGCAATCACAATAACCAGAGGAATCACATTGCCTTTTTGTTTTGAGAGTAGGAATAGGACTCACGTTCAGACAAGACTCGTGGCGCCTGAACTCTCAAGTTAAGAGTTTCTCAGGCCAGACCGTTTGGAGCAAACTGGAGGCTTCTGCAGCTGCTTGTCGTTGTGGGGCCATTTCAATTCAGAGTTGCGGGAGGTGGGGCTCATGGACTTGTTGCAATTATTACTTCTGCGGACTTCCCCGATAGGTATAGACTCCGTGCCGTGTGAAAACCGGCTAAATGTCTTGGCTCGGTGCTGTGAGCCAGCATGAGAATATCTGTTTAGTAGGCAGCCTTGCATGTCAGGGGCAGCTCGCGCCGATCCCCACCTTGGAGCTCGAGACAGCGCCTCAGACCTTGAAGCCTCCGTGATGGTACCTTGAGTCTTTACTAGGGTTCCTTATATGAGTCCTACCTTTGGGGGTTATGGGGCCAGGGTTTCTTAGTCAGGTTCCTACATTATTGAGTCTGGCAGACAGGAACCCAATTTGCCTTTACTCTAACATGCTGCCCCTAGTTTGCGATAGTAAAGCGGCCCAGCGATATCGAAGTGGGCCTCTGGGGTCAGACAGGATGTCTCTGCGCTACAGTTTTCGGCTACTTCATGGGGTGGCAGGGGCATTTGCGGTTGACGAGCGAGCATAGATGAGACGTCCTCGTGCAGTAGACCACGCATCTAGCATGTATCAGCTTGGCAGGAAGTTTGTCTGCACGAATGTGACTCTGAATCGAACCCTCTGGCATCAATACATATATGCGTGCAGTCGAATGCTGGAACTGTACCCGGGAAGCCGGTGCAGGACAAATTTCTCTGCAGCTGCTATCGCTGATGCTGAGCAGCGAAAGGTTGCCAGAGAGGTGGGCCATTGAACAAAACATCTGCAGCCATCCAAAGCACATGAGCATGTTTCTATCAGCACAAGGGCACAGATAGTTCAACTGCCCGATACCCTGGCACCCCAAAGCCATAAAGCCGAAACTGCAGTGGATCCGCGTTTAAAGGCAAGTCGGCGGAACGAGGAGGCAGCCCAGGCATGCCCGTTGCAACGGGTGGCATGGGGTCCACATCAGTGATGTGCGGTCGGAATAGCTAACAGTATCCCCGCATAGTCCCTGTCTAATCATGGTACACTGTACTCCAAAACCCTATGCAGATTATTCACCCCACGTTTGCTGACTAATGCTTCGGAAATCGACCGCTTCACGTTCATTGTAGACGCCCGGTCAGTAAACCCTCCTTCTTCGCGTACCTTAGTTTCTGGCTCCCCGTCATAGTCCTTCATGAGGGTGGGGAGGCCCTTGAACTGATTGGCGATCTACATTAAACTCGTCAGGCAGCAGCAGCTTTTGACATCATGCTGGAACAGGTTTCCCTTAGCCTGGCCCCTAATAAATTCAAACCTTAACCCTGAATCCTAAACCTTAATAAAAGCCCTAAACATCTCATGTCTCCAGCCAGTGCTGTCCAGGCGAGTGCCGCCCGATGGTCGGTTCTGGTACAGCAGCTGCCTAAGCAAGAGGATGTGGTGCATCTACTCGAGGACTCGTCGTGCGCCAATGCCGGATCAACTGGGGTTTTAAGCTAGGGGTTTAGGGTTTAGGGGCTGCATGGTGTGGGGGTTTAGGGCTCGGGGGTTTAGTGTTTCGGTGTAGGTAAAGCTCCTTCTTGATCTCAAACACCTCACGACGTAACGTTTTGTCTTGGCGAGCCACCCAAGATTATCCTATTCGACGGCATCAGCCAGAGGAGCCTGAAGGCAAAAAAGTAAAAATAAGAAATCGGAAAGCAGACAAGTTGAGGCTTGCGGCAGATCATGTATCTCAGGGCCAGAGTTGCTTCCTGGTGACAAGGTTCATATCGCAACTTCGAGATCACTCTAACCGCTTGTCTTCCACAAACGGGAAACGCATGTGACCTTAAAGTCTTTAAGTTGTGTTTAGTACCCGTTTGCAAAAGAGAAAACATAATTTTCCATTGAGACCCCTAAAGCCCTAAGGTTTAGGGCCCAAGCCTTTACGTAGATCGACCCTGGCCGGAGGACCTTGATCCGGCAAGGGACAGCTCAGACTGCACGGTTCAACAGCTCTCAAAGGCTCGCATGGACGGCCACTACAACACTTAGCGTCGGCTTTAGGTTTTGAAGTTTAAGGTGTGCAAGGGTTCAGGGATGGGTCATGTCTAGGTGTTTTTCAGAATTCAGACAGGGGTCACGGCAGTGACAGGCATGGGTGAAATCCATAAGAGTAGGCAGTCGTCGTGGTGTCGTAGTAGTGCTGGTAGTGGTAGTGGCCGTGGTCGTGGTGGCAGTGGTAGTGGTAATGGTGGTGGCAGTAGTAGTAGTCGTCGTCGTCGTAGTAGTAGTAGTAGTGGTAGAAGTAGAAGTAGAAGTAGAAGTAGTGGCGGTAGTAGTAGTAGTAGTAGTAGTAGTAGTAGTAGTAGTAGTAGTAGTAGTAGTAGTAGGAGTAGTAGCAGTAGTAGTAGTAGTAGTCGTCGTAGTAGTAGTTGTAGTAGTAGTAGTAGTAGTAGTAGTAGTGGCGGTAGTAGTAGTAGTAGTAGTAGTAGTAGTAGTAGTAGTAGTAGTAGTAGTAGTAGTAGTGGCGGTAGTAGTAGTAGTAGTAGTAGTAGTAGTAGTAGTAGTAGTAGTAGTAGTAGTAGTAGTAGTAGTAGTAGTAGTAGTAGTAGTAATAGTTGTGGTAGTAGTAGAAGAAGAAGAGAAGGAAAGAGACCGGAGCATTCGTGAAACAGCAGCAAACCATTGCATTCGCGAAACAGGAGCGAACTGTTTGGAAGAGACTAGAACAGTTGAGAAGCCCTAACTGCTCGAAACGGATAAAGCATGTCAGAAATAGCAGCAGATCGCACGAAACGGACCATGTTTTTCCAGAGGCAGGAGCAGAACGCTCGAAAGGGACTAGGGTTTTTTCCAGACTGACTGCATGATTTAAGAAACAAGAGCTAACCACTTGAAAGCCAGAGCACGTCAGAAGTAGCAACAAGACGCTCGAAACAGCAGCTTGAAACAGGAGGAAATCGCCCTGAAGGGATTAGAACGTGTGAGAAACAGACTAAAGGACTTGGCAAGCAGGAGCCAGCGTGTTCGAAAGAGACTAGAGCATGCGCGAAGCCGGAGCTGTCCTTCGAAAGGAACTAGGGCAACTGGTCATTGTAGAAACAAGAGCCAAACGTTCGGGAATGGCGAGAGTCTGTCTGGCTAGAGGTTCTCAAAAACAGCAGCACGGCGCACGAAAGCAGCTGGAGCGTTTAAAAACAGGAGCAAACTGTTCGGAAGAGACAGATGGAGACCCATGGAAAGGATGCACTGCTAGTCACTGCTACTAGTAGTCGTGGCCCAGAGGATGGGAGCAGAAGGAGAAGCAGCAAGTAGGAGTATTACGGTCGCCGCAGCAATGGCATTGACTATCGGACTGTCGCCATCATCATCGCAACTGAATTTTCAGGTTTACCGAAGTATCATTAGTGACCAGCGGTAGTCAGAACAACGTGAGCGTGGCGCAGGTACTGGAGTTTCTCTGCCAGGAGGCACTTGCAGTGCTGGTTCCATGAACCGGCAGCTGTTGAGTTCGGGAGACCTCAGCTCTTTTAATGATTTTGTTTCAATCCCTAAACCCTAAACCCTATACGAGCTTGAAAAAATACGAGCATGCTCCGTACTTGCGGTTCTTCGTTTTCGTGTCGCGAGAAGTCTGTGGACGTGTACAGGTCGAGGCCAGCGAAGGTCCGGCGATCTCATTTCGGAGGGCTCTGGACGCGGTGCCGAACTGCAAGGAGCGTGCTAGGGCCGCCCCGAAAGAATTCAATACTATAAGGATCCTTAATAGTTAGAATAGGGTTTTGGGGCCCCTTATACTATAATTAGAATAGGGTTTTGGGGCCCCCATTGTACTATAGCTAGAATAAGGAGCCTAGCATTTAATCCTGCAGCCTTTGGAAGCTGGAAATTGCAAGTTAAAGTCGTAACGACTTGGGAGCCCGGTGGGGCCTCGTCAGGAGCGGCTCCTTTACACAATGTCTATGATGACCTACAGGCTCGCCTCGTTTTCTACTACGACTACGACTACGACTACGACTACTACTACTACTACTACTACTGCTGCTACGGTTTCTCCGATGACTGAGAGCTTTGAAGCGTTTCGCTGTTGGCGGCTTGACAGGCAGAAGGCGACGACCTGTGTAGAAGGGCTCGAGGATCCTCGGTGGCATGGTCTGCAGACTCGTCGCAACAGCCAGTGGAAGAAGCATCTAAGGACTTTTTGGACGTTGTTGAGTGCTTTTTGCACTCAAAGGCGGCTGCTTTCAGGGCGGCTGCTTTCAGAGTGCGTGTGGAGAGTACCATTCGACCAAATTGGGCTCCATGCATGACAGAGAGATACTCGCGGAGGCCTTGCCGGAGTACTTGAGCCTTATCCTGGCCACGGGCAACTACCTGAATGGAGGACCAGGGTTTTGGTTCGGACAGATGCAGCGCGCAACGAAATGGAAGATTTTGTCAGGCACACCTCGTGGACAAGCAGATGGTTTCGATTTGAGCGAGCTGGACAAGATGACAGGCGGTTTCCGTACTTGAAGAGAACCGTGGCTTTGCGGTCATTGCAGGAATCCAGGATGCTGACGGCAAGGATTTGCGACACTTCGTGCTCGAGGCAGGAAAATCCTGGTGCAGTAGATCAGCCTCTTTTACTGCTAACGCCCGCTCACGACAGCCGGTTCGTGCCTCGTGCAACAGGTATTTTGTCAGCAGATGCCTGTCCAGGCCTGGGCAGAGTATCGTGAGAGGTGGAAGCTAAAGACTCGAGCTGGGTGCAGGCAGAGCAGCTGTTTGCGGAGCTTCGCCCGTGCTTCCTGAATGTGAGGAGGCAGAGCTTGCGCAGCTTGTGTTTGCGATGTTGGATTTGCTGCAAGTTCTAGGATCCTAATTGGAGTTTCCGAAAATTGCTTAGGGGTGCCTTTTTGGGGGTCCTTTTAATGAGGACCCTACTTTAGAGGGTACTATATTAGGGTCCCCTATATTCGGAAACTCCCAGATTCCCAACGACGCGCATTGATTGGCAGATGATTCCAAGCACCCTGCCCGAAAGGAGCATCTCCAAGGCGGGAAGGGCGCCTCATTCCTTGCTGCACATGCCCGGAGCATTGCCACCCAGTTGTGCTCGCAAGTAGACATACTAATACTGTACTAGTACCTTGATTGTTTGCAAGCCTGTCGTGCTAATAACAAGCACCGTCATACTACAGTACTAATAAGAGACGGCATCTTGTGTGTTTATGCCGACAACATTCAGAGTGCTACCGGCCGTGCCAAGAAGACCACAGCAGCCATAGCTCGGTAGCAGCCGGGAAAGCTTGGAAGCTGAAGCAGCGAAGTTCCACTTTCGTTTGCCGTCATCCCGATATGTTACACGTGGCTTTTCCCCAGCATCCCCCTGCAGTCTTGGGGTTTCAGGTTTCCAGTAGGGTTTTGTACAGGCTTGGTGGGGGCCATCCTGATGCTTCAAGGTCTCAGTCTCTGTAGCCAGTGTAAGGCCAAAACCTTTTGGATGCTCGCTGCGATTGACCGAAGCCGCACAGGATGCATTGGGAACGGCAAAGCTGTCGAAAACTGCTGCTCGGCTTGACATGGGACAGAGAAGGAGACTCCAGACTTTGCTCGCTTACCCAGCCCGTGCTGCAAATTGCATGGGGCACTGTGTCCATAGCACGATTCAGGAATCCACGAAAGATACCTCAACTTCTCTGCCGGTCTGCGCGGCATGCTCAGGTGCTGCAGGCAATTGAAGCGCTGGACGAGGAGGTCAGGGTCTCGGAATCTCCTGCTTCGACTTGCGTGCTGGGCCGTGCAAGATGACATCAGGTTTCAGCACTGCAGGTGAGCTTGAAGCAGGCTGAGGACGGAAGTTGGGGCAGAGGCATTTCAAATCTGACATGACATGGCTGTGGCATCGCTAGGAGGCCGTGACGACTGTGGTCGGCAGCCAGACCTCACCTGCAGCCCATGAACGTCTTACCAAGAAGCTTGCAGAGGCACGGCACGATGCCCTGCACTAAGCACCAAACCTTTTATGGGCCCTCCACCCTAAAGCCCATTAGCACTACGAGACTATACCCGTGTAGACTCTAGACAGTAGAGGATCACCACATTATGTTTTCCTGCGAGGCATCTGCATTCGTCAACGAGACAATAGCCTTCAGAGACGACGTGAAGGCGGCCCTCAGACAAACCCACTCAAGGATTCAAACTACCCATAGGCCTCAAAGTAGTTCCTTTTTGGGGTTCATATCTAGAATTCTATACGGCAATCCCCAAAAGGAACTACTATGGGGCCTATGGGTAGGGCTCCGGGCATACAGGTTTGAGGATTTTTCAAGCTTAGAATGCCAAAGCCTGAACCGCGCAGAAGCTCTCAAAACAAAGCTGAAGCAAAGCCCTAAACACCCTAAACAGAAACACCACTTAAGTGTTCGCACCAGCCCAGAACAAATCCTCAGTTGACGACATCAACCCGCAAGGCCAAGTTCGAAGATCTTGCGCGCTTCCTCCACATGAAGCCCATGAGGACGTCGAGTTCTTTCTACGTGGGGGGCGGGGGGTGTTATACGGGTTTGACTCATGCCCAAGGTGCTGTAGAGTCTTATCCGGGCTTTTTTCGCAAGATGTTCGAGGAGTCTGAAAAGACGTGGTTGTGTGACCGGGGCCCTTAGGACAGAAACTCATAGAACCTGGGTTCCGCAGACCCTGAGAGCCTAAAAGCCCGAGAGCCCTCGACCCCTGCATAAGTTTTTGGCGACCGGAGTAGAAATGCATCCCCCAAAAATGGGAGTTTCCGACAATTAGGGGGAACCTTACTTTGGAGTCCTTGTAACAGGGATCCTACTATTTTTCGGGTACTATATTAGGATCCCCCACATTCGGAAACTCCCAAATAGCTACCCAAGGAGTGACGACTGCTGTCCAAGCCCATGAACCCGAACCCTTTTGCCCTCTCTGAAATACCCTATGCCCCAGTCGCAGTCAAGCCAAAACAATCAGTCTGTCTCAGGGTTGCCAAAGACTCCAAAATCCCGTAGTGAAGGTGTATACGTTTATAACTACAATCAGGGTGAGCCTTAGTATGATCAACGGCATACTCCTTGATCAAAGGTTTTGGGAGTGTGCGGTTTGGCCAATTGCTTCGATATCATCTGGCAGGCGGAAGAGAACCTTCAAACAAAACCAAAGCCTTAACCCAAGACCCTACCTCTAAAGCCCTGGAACTGTATGCCCACAGCCTTTCCCCAAACCCTGCAATCTCAACCCTGAAACCCTTTAAAGCCCTGAACCCTAGACCCTAAACCCTAGACCCTAAACCCTAAACCCTAATCCCCAAACCCTAAACCAAACCAAACTGAAGGAGCGACGATTTTTGCCTTCTTTGGGATGACTTGTTCGTGCCCGGCGAGCTGATGGTAAACAAGGGCAAGGCCCGTTGGCATTCAGAACCGTAGCGACACTGTTGTCAGACGTCTGTTGCTACTGCGTTCGACAAGAAAGTATTCGGATTTTTTTGTAATGTTAAGGATATGGATAAGAATCTGAGATAGCACAGTGCTGTCCAGCCCATGTGAGCCTTGAGCGGCTTTCAGGATCACTACTTCGTCCCGGCCTTCTGCAGCGGGGAGACTTTCAAGCTGGAGCATGTCAAGGTGCCGAGGGCTTTAGGGCATTGGGTTGTTCAGAACTTTGGGATTGTAGGCTTCAGGTTGGGCGAGGAGGACTGCACGTTGGCGAAGAAGCTAGAAGAACGCTGAAAACCCAACCCCTTAAAGCAACCTCCTTAGTAGCCCTAGGCCCTAAGCCCCAAACATTGCCAGCGTCGGCTGGCTCGTGCCACCCGTCCCCGATGAATGCTTGGACGATGTTGGCTGGAGGTGCTTTGGCAGCTTCAGACGGAGGATGCGGACTCTCAGGACTCTGCTATGATCAGTCCATGTTAACGCTGTATCAGTCCGCATTAACCCTATATGATCCCATAGTATCCCAACATCGGCCCTTCTTAACCCTGAATTAACGCAGAGAAACCCTTTCTCCCTCTCTGTGAGCGGGTAGGGGCAACGAGTCGCCTCAGCAAGGATGCGGACGATGACCCGACGCTGAAGGAGGCTGCGCCAATCTCATCGGAAGCACTGATTTCCGGTTTGACTACCCCTGAATCGTACTGGAACCATGGTACAAACGGATGGTACCCAGAGACTCCAATGTCCCCCAAATAAGGAATATACCGTAAATCATATAAGGGATCCTACCATATTTTAAGGGATATTCCTTAATAAGGGATATTGGAGTCTCTGGGCAGGGTCGCGGGGGAGAAGATGCCTCAATTGATCAGGGGCCTCTGGACGCCGAGCAGTTCTGCCGGGCACTGGTTCCCTCGGTGCAGTGCCCTGAGGACGGGCTCGAGAATCCTCTTCACCTCAAGGGTCACAGAGTGCTTTTGTCGGGCTTCAAGCAGCCGGGTAACCTTCAGAACGGTTCTCCAAGCATTCGCGAGCTCTAAACGTCTTCGTGAAAACCACCAACCGGAGTTGCGGGTGCAGGTTAGAGGGTCTCTGAAGCCCCGAACCTCAAAACTACTAGACTTCCCTAAACCTCCAGAGTTCCCTAAACCCAAAACCCAAATGCCAAATACCTTGCAACACCCCACACACACACAAGCCTCTTCTTGTGTCCCTAACACCTAGTATAGTTTCGCCCAGTCCGCCCAGTCCAGTTTGACATATGACCCTAAACCCTCTTCCCAAAAAATACCCTAAATCCTTAAGGAAGCCTATACACCCTAAAGCCCGAAGCCTCTAAACCCTATGCCCAAATACCCAAATCTGCTACCCTAAGCCCTTACCCTAAGCCCCTAAACCCCTAACCCCTAAACCCCCAAACCCTAAACCCCTAAACCCTGAAGCCTCGATCGGCCAGGACTTCGCCAGCGTTGCTCGGAGCTACTCCGCTTGCCCCGGGACACGTGCAGAGGGCGGAGACCTCGGTGAGGCGACCGTAATTTGGGGGGCCTTGGATGATTACGGCTGACGATAAATATCCTGCATTACCAATAATAAGGAATATACCATAATTCCCATAGTTTAGGATCCTTAAGGTAATGCAGGATTTATATCATCAACAGTTAGAGTAAGGGGTTTGTTCATGGATTTTGCTGAAGAGTTTCTGCCTTTCAGTCTTGGCAGGTGTTGAGAGGGATTTACGGGATTTTGCAGTAGGGTAGGGTTTACAGGGTTTTATAGGCTTGTTGGGTTTAAGGCCTATGTGTGCTTTGGGGGGGCTTGGGTTTAGGGGGTGGGCTTTGGATTTCGGGCTTAAGGGCTAGGCTTTGGCAGATGCTCTTGGTATCCGATTTCTCCGGCTCGAACCCCGCCCTCGGACAGGATAAGACTCACCCTGCCGCGGGTTTACGAGTCTGGAGGGCCCGAACAGTTGACGATCCGGGTGGTCGGACGGGCAAGGTTAGCGTGGCACTGCAGCGACCGGCAGGGCTTCAGTCTTTCAATCACTGCGAGCTGAGCTGAAGGGTCTTAGGCCTTAACGCTTGTAGGATTTTTGCTAGCAGTCTAATTGTCTTCGTGTCTTAACCCTTCAACCCCCTTCCCCCCCAACACAAACCTCAGATGGTTAGTTACCAACGTTATTTCTGCAGATCCTTTGCCTCGCGTGATTGGAAGTTGCAAACTGACCTGGGTTTTGTAAGCTGGCTTCCTGGCAGGTGGAGCGAGGACAAATGCACAGTGCCATCGAGGACAGCAAGAGTGCAATGTTACTTTCGGAGAACGATGCGATCATTTAGGAAAATGATTGAAGATGACTCTGATAACAGAAGCCTATCGCCACATCACACTATTTATTGCCCAGGGCCCTCTGAACCCGATCTCTAAGCAGTGCGAACCACGTCAGGCTGCACTATTCGACCCGGAGCTCGAGCTCGGCTGTCCCCTGGGGCCTGTGGGGTGCTCGTGGGCTGGGGGCTTCAAAGCACGGCTATTCTCTGGGTAAGCATGTCAATGGTATGCACCTGCATGGATGGATACCTACGGAGAGAACAGATTGTCAGACAGGTAGACAGGTAAACTCTAGCTCCTTCATGTGCGTGCGGGCACACAAGCTTTGGGACCGTTGGGCGTTGTACTTGCCAGTGTGTCAGCGGTCCTTTGTTCGGAAGACTATGTTTTCATACAATGTGTATACCTCACTGTTTAAGGTTTCATATGGATTGATGCCTTTACACCTGCGTGTGTGACGCATCAAGGTTGTAGCAATGTCAACAGAGCCACAGCGGTCAAGAACGCAGCAGTTCAGGTGCAGACCGATGCAGGGTACCACTTGCTCATGGCAAGGCCTTCTCCGGGTCCGTTTGACAACTGCGGTTGTTGCCGCTGTTATGCCTCATTGCCAGTCTCGCCACCACTAGTTATCGCCACTTCTGCCACCAGACCGTCTGCTTCTGAACCGCCGCTGCTGCTGCTGCTGCTGCTGCTGCTGCTGTTCCTCCAACGACCACCACCACCGCCACCACCACCACCACCACCGCCACCGCCGCCGCCACCACCACCGCCGCCGCCGCCGCCGCCGCCCCGCCCCCGCCCCCGCCCCCCCCCACCCCACCCCCACCACCACCACCGCCGCCGCCGCGCCACCACCCACACCACCACCCACACCACCACCACACCACCACCACCACCACCACCACCACCACCACCACCACCACCACCACCACCACCACCACCACCACCACCACCACCACCACTCACCACCACTACCACTACCAGGCACCACCACCACCACCACTGCCATTGCGACTGCCGCCACTGCCACGGTCACTGCAGCTACAGCTGCGACTGGTAAGAAGGCGACAGCTACGTCGAAGACCAGCACCGCCGTTTCTTCGTCACATCGTCATCACAGTCAGCATCACCGTCATCAGCATCATTATCATGGCCAGTCGCTCGGCAATCATGCGGTGAGTGTTTGAAATGTGTTTCCTGCTTCCCCGGCAGTCCCCTGGAATCGCTTCGCAGGAAGAAGAGCAGGGGTATCCTTTCCACGACGGATTCTCGACTGCATGCTGGCACAGAAGGACAGCGATGAACAGAGACATGTTGCTGGCATGACCTGTGTGCCAAGATGGCGTGAAAACACAGCATGTGCTGAGGTTTCCGCCAGCCACATCTTGGTGAAGCCCGGACGATATCAGGCTCCCGCCTGTGAGGCCTGGTCGAATCCAGCGAGCAGGGTCCGAATTTGCGAGCTGTTTGGGGTGGCACGCCACTGTCCGGTTTCAGAATGCGCGAGGTGCACATGCACCTGCCGAACATGGTCGGTGCAGAAGCAGACATGACAAGGACCACAGCGAGACGTCGGATTCCGGATCTAAACGGCGCTGTTGTCGTAATATTTCCAGCTTACTTTTTCTCATGTACCACTGCAGCCACCAGCACCACGACTGCCACCATGTCATCCTAGCATTAGCTCATTAGCTGTTGCTGCTGATAAAGCACCAAACCCTAGCACCCGACATCCTCAGCTACAAAGCAGATAGCTCCACTGAACGAACCCTTAATCAAGACCAGTTAAAAGGACTTGGCGAAGATGGTCGTTCGCCCACTCGCTGCCACCAGCCCTCTCACACTTGGCAGAGGCCCGGAAAGGCTCATAGAAGGGTTCAAAGTTTTAGGATTTTGGGCGTTGCGAACCTTAAGGCCAGGAAGTCTAAGTTTGTTTAGATACGTATGCACAGTTGCGTACCCATACCAGTACAATCATGTGTGCCTATCTGTATATCTGTATATATATATATATATATATATATATGGGCGCGTGGTCATTCCGCCCCCCTACATTTCAGCATCTTCGGTATTGCGCCCAATACAATACAGTGCCAAGGGTGCAAATGTCATGCCCCATACCGCGAAGTTTGGTATAACTATAAACCCATATATTTCAAAACACATGAAAGAAAATATGGCACATACACGGTTCAGAGTATATAACATACAATATCTAGGAAATGTGTAATATTTCGTGCCTCACAATGATATAACACAGAATGTAAGCTGGCATGCTGGAATTACGGTTTTTTTTCCGAATGGCATTCGCCAGTATATCACATCAGTTTTCATTTGCAATATACTTGATGTAACGGCTGATGCTGTACACTGGTATAGTATCGTATAGTACCAGATGACATAGTCCATGATAGAACATGTTATGCTCCAATACAGCACGAATTAAGTTGGCATGGTACAGTAAACATTTTGATGTGATGTAACCTGAAAAGAAAAAGTAACTGACAACCAGATGCATGCTCTATGTGACACAATACAGTCTACGACCATCAGATATAGCATGGTATGTTTTAACCTGTTACTGGTCAGTATGAGGTTCAAAATGAATCATACCAAGATGTTTCACATAGTACAACTTATTGTGAGATGATATGACGCGGTATAGGGTGAAAGGATCTAATATCTAACCAAGCCTTCGGTACCTTTTGTAATATACTCTCATGCTGTATAGCCCATTATGATCTGTGTCTAACTCAAAACAACCCATGCATCAAAAGATGGTACAACACAATGTTTGGAATAATACAGTATCAGTAGCAGACTAACATATGCCGCACAGCATGATAGGTTATCATTTCTTGGGCTTATGTATGATGTCAACCATGTAGAATGCAATTTGTAACAGAATTAATTACGAATAAGATGCCTCATACCGCGAAGTATGGTACAATTATGAACCCATATACTTCAAGACACATGAAAGAAAATGTTGCACATACACGTTTCAGAGTATATAACAGACAATACCTAGGAAATGTGTAGTATTTCGTGCCACACAATGATATAAGACAGAATGTAACCTAGCATGATAGAATACAGCTTTTTTTCCGAATGGCATTCGCCAGTATATCACATCAGTTTTCATTTGCAATATACTTGATGTAACGGCTGATGCTTTACACTGGTATAGTATCGTATAGTACCAGATGACATAGTCCATGATAGAACATGTTATGCTCCAATACAGCACGAATTAAGTTGGCATGGTACAGTAAACATTTTGATGTGATGTAACCTGAAAAGAAAAAAGTAACTGACAACCAGATGCATGCTCTATGTGACACAATACAGTCTACGACCATCAGATATAGCGTGGTATGTTCTAACCTGTTACTGGTCAGTATGAGGTTCAAAATGAATCATACCAAGATGTTTCACATAGTACAACTTACTGTGAGATGATATGACGCGGTATAGGGTGAAATGATCTAATATCTAACCAAGCCTTCGGTACCTTTTGTAATATACTCTCATGCTGTATAGCCCATTATGATCTGTGTCTAACTCAAAACAACCCATGCATCAAAAGATGGTACAACACAATGTTTGGAATAATACAGTATCAGTAGCAGACTAACATATGCCGCACACCATGATAGGATATCATGTCTTGGGCTTATGTATGATGTCAACCATGTAGAATGCAATTTGTAACAAAATTACGAACAAGACACCTGTATAGTAAAGCATAGTGTAGGAAAAGAGTATAGTGAACTGTAAAAGTTTGGTGTAATACACAATGTAGTATACAGCCTAGAATTTAGCGTATAGTATAAAGCATAGTACATGACATGGTATGTATCATAGTGTCTCCTGGAGCTCATGGTATAGTCTTTCGTACAGCACAAGTACATTGTATAGTAACGTCTATGGTCTATAGTATAGTCTGCAATATCGGTCTGTAGTATGCCCTAGAGCCGACAGCATAGGCTACAGTAGATACCAGTTCGTTTCGTATATAGTTGAAAGTATATAGATGGCACAAAGTATCCCACAGTCGTATGCTTTTGCAAAATCTTCTGCCACAGTGGGATAGGGAGAATAGTATATTTTGAACCCTATGTAAGACAAGACATCACAGTTCAAGATGATCTCATGGAATAGATCATGAATTACGGATCCTTATGGCTTTCGGCGCTTTGACTGTTACGACTTGGTGAAGCGAACTGGGCATCAATGTGTTGCGCTGTCAGTTCTCACACTCGTAACGCCAGAGGCCTGATCATACTCTTATATATATATATATATATATATATATATATATATATATATATATATATATTTATTTATTTATATTTATATTTATATTTATATTTATATATATATATACATATATATATATATATAGATGTATACATAGATCGCTCTGCTTGGAACAGCTGTCAGTTTACGTACCATTTAACCTGTAGCGGGGTATAGGCAGGCGTGAGTTTCGAAACACAGCGTATGTTTCGAAACACGCGCCTGCCACGGCCCCAACCCAGTAACCCAGTAAACCCGCTAACCCATTGACCCGTTGACCCATTGACACATTAACCCATTAACCCAATCATTCTGGCCAAATGAACTTGCCTTAACCCGTTAACCCATTAACCCAATCATTCTGGCCAAATGAAATTGCCTTAACCCATTGACCCATTAACCCAATCATTCTGGCCAAATGAAATTGCCTTAACCCATTAACCCATTAACCCAATCATTCTGGCCAAATGAAACTGCCTTAACTCATTAACCCATTAACCCATTAACCCAATCAATCTGGCCAAATGAACTTGGGAGTAGAGTCCAGTCCCACTTGGGCAAATCATTGGGTTAATGGGTTAACGGGTTGGGCAACTGATTGGGTTAATGGGTTACGGCAATTTCATTTGGCCAGAATGATTGGGTAAATGGGTTAATGGGTTAGGCCCTCATTGGGTCAACGGGTTAATGGGTTAAGGCAAGTTCATTTGGCCAGAATGATTGGGTTAATGGGTTAATGGGTTGGGCAAATGATTGGGTTAATGGGTTAATGGGTTGGGCAAATGATTGGGTTAATGGGTTAATGGGTCGGGTTGGGGCCTCCGACGGATATGTTTCGAAACAGACACTAGCTTCGAAACCAGATAGCAGAATTCATGAATAGAAAAGCGAAGTTGCTGAAATGCAGGGGGAATGACTACCTACCCATATATATATATACAAATATATATGCATGCCAAAAGGCACAAACGTTCACATATGTGCGCAGACAAGTAGCGAAGTAGATACACACAGGGGCAGACCGAGTGTTTACAAGTAAGTAGATACATTGCAACAGATGTGTGTATGTCCTAAGGGTATGTTTCCCCATGGCAATTCTATGGGTTCTCACATTGAAAGTAGAAGGATTTGAATGGCGGGGGAGGCGGAATTGCTTGGCTTTTTCGGGCCATCGAAACGCTCGACAAATCTGAAGTCCTGATAGAACCAGCCTATGCTGCACTAGTCTGCCTCTCGAGCTCCTGCGTGTAATCTTCCGACCCGCAGTCTGCGGTGTCTTTTTTCTGAGTTCTTGTTAAGGGTAATTAAGGACAGTAATTTAAGTTACCATAGTGAAGAAACCATATCATGTAGATCCCGATTATGACAACTTGAAGCATCTTCCCTAACAAGGACTCAGTTTTGGAGTTTTGTGACAGTGGACTTGGAGTGGCCTCGGGACGGGGCCCTAGTGTAGCCTTCCAGCCGTTTTCTCTGCGAGACGTTGATGTTTATCTCAAACCCCTTTACATCGTTAGTCCCAAAACCCGCAAACCCTCACAGAACCCCGATGGATCCCAAGAGTTGGTGTTTTGAACGAGCTGCATAGCCTGCCGCACATGAGCTCGTCACTGGTGAAAACTCATCCTACCCCAACCCGCGGGGGATTCAGATGTGGAACATCATCAAAAGATAAATTGGCATCAGCACGTTCAGAAAAGTACCGCGTTCGCGGTAACTTGGATAAAGCTGTCTTCTTGGTGATACGAAACTTTGCTTTGGCAGCACGCCACATAGAACATAAAGTACGTGGTAGGTTAGAGGTGCGGTCCTTCCAGCGCCACTTTCTCCCACACCTCAAACATTGAAGCCATCCCTCATCCGGTGCGCCTATATTCTTGCCAAGTTTGCGGTTCCAGTGAAGCAGATGTTTGGCTCGATTATATTTCATGTTGAGTTCCCGCTCCAGTTGGTCGAGCCGGTTGTCGTTGGACAGAAAACCTTCAGACGCCAAAACAGGGCCACCTCGTTGTGTGCACGGTTTGCTCGTAATCTTGAGTCGAACATGCTGAGTATTGGAGGTAAACTTCCCACATAAACGGCACCAAAAGCCGCCCTCAGTACGCGGTGCCAGCAGATGCCCATTCTCCACAATACCTCGTTCAGTAATCTCCCGCGTAGGAAAGTTACGCCTCTTGTCCTCCAAGTCCCCCCCCGCATGCCACCTGACAATATGCTTCTGCCATACGTCAACAAGGAATTCTTGAACTAAGAGTACCACGTCATCGTTCAAGTAAAAGTCCTCTGGTACCACCATCGCATACGTAAAGCATATTGGCAAATCCTCAATCCTGCACCCCAGAGACTCCAACACGTGTGCTCGTTCCTCCGCATATAAGGCACATCGCCATGAAACGTGCATGATGGTCTCCTCCTCCGCACCGCAAGAGCACATACGATTGGAATCCTGTCGTTTGTGCCGCGACGCCCGCTCTGGCGTCATCAAGCCTCCTGCAATGATACGACGCAAAACTCCAAGTTTAGCCCATGCATCCTCATCGCCTTGTCGCGCGCGTTCCTCCAGTTTCCGGTGGTAAAGTAGTGTACGCACACGATCCACCCTCCCAGCACCCGCATAATGTTGAGATCTTTCCTGGCTCACCTTCCGCCACAAGTAGGCTCGCCACTCATCACGCAGTTGATGTAACCACAACCCTTCATCGATCTCACCCGCCATCAATTCGTTGACCCTGGTTGACAAGATGGACACATCACGAAGGTTTTGCAACCGTAGCGTAGGACCATCCACCACCGCCGAAGGAGTACAGTGGTACCTCCTGCGGATTTCCGCCGCTATGTCCGGTACTCGCATAATCCGCATAACAGTGCGCAGTCCTTCGTAAGCCGCCCCAAACTCAGGATCAAGCTGGACTGGACACAAAATCGCCATCGTGACAAGAGGGCTCATAGAGTAAAACTCGCATCCCCATAAGGATCGCATAACCTCAGTGCGCACCGTACGCAGATAAGTAACATCCGCAGCGATAGCGTGCGTCCCCTGCCCAAAAAGCGCTTGCGACTGCGTGGCCATCATCATCCGCGAACGATCCGCCCATGAGCGAGGTACATGGCGTATCCTCCTGATGCTACCCTTCCAAGCGTCCCAGCGCTTCTGTTCCAGCATCGTGACATTCAAAGCGGCATCCCGCACCACAATGGACCCGCCCACCAGTCGGAATTCGGATAAATGCGAATATGCCGGTTCCAAAGCAGCCTCAATCCCAGCATCACCGAATGTGTAGGTTTTGCGCTCGTGTACTTCTCCGCACTCCGCTTGCTCATAAGCCCTGATGATCGCGTGAAAGCCCCGTAATCCATGACGTACCCCCGCCACTGTATCAGCTTGCGCCACCACACTAATATCATCTGCGTATGATCTCGGCTTGACGTTCGCTCCCAGTTCAACCTTAGAGGCCTCCAAGACGCATGAAACGATGCTGTTCAAAGCTATCATTGAGAGTGCATCTCCCTGTATGATACCACCGTCCGGACGCCACCATTCTCCCAATGCACCTCGCAGCCTGAACACCCGCCAAAGCCCATCATACATAGAAGCGAGTGGTCTCAGCAAACGCTCCGCGGCTCCACGCCGCCGCATCGTAGCCAGCATAATGTTAATCGGCACCAGATCAAAGGCTTTTTTAAAATCATAAGACACTCCACCAACGCACGGTGGCCCACCATAGGCCGAAGCTTCTAGGTCAAGGGCAACCTGCATCGCCAATTGCTCGGAGCTACGCTTTCGCCTGCAACCGAACACCGAATCATCCACCCAGCACTCTTGCCACTTCATCGCGGTCACGAAGCGCGCCTTCGACCACAATCGGTAGATTCCTGATAACACCGTTATCGGGCGAAACTCCGTTGGAGCAGGATCTGCGACAGTAGAGTCTTTAGGGATTAGTGCAGTGTAGGCACGAAGTATGGCTCGAGGCCATCGGCTGGTGGTTTCAACAAAGTCCAGTATCAACGCTAAGTCATCGTAAATGCCTGGTGCCCAATGCCCCAAAGCAGCCAGTGACCCAGGTTTCCACATGTCCAAGCTCGGCGCCGAAGACGCAGTTTCACGAGCTACCTCCGCCAGAAAAGGACCAGATAACGGTTCCAGATCCATACGCGCGCTCCGCATGTATGGGCCAAACTGTTCTATGAACCGATCACAATCCGCAGGTCTAGAATGAAACTTCCCAAAGATAGGTTTCCATGCCGTGAGCATGTGGTCCAGCTGCTCATTGCGGTCAACCGTGAAACTCCCCTCACTAGTACGCATCAGCATGGAACTCCGCTTGCACTCATCCTTCACCCACTTGTGTGATTGACGAATAGAAGATTGCATCCTGGCCTTCCAAGCACGAAGGCGCGCTTTGTCCCCCGCCATCTGGAGCCGCCGATACTCCGCCGCAAGCATATTACACATCTGAGTCACGACCTCACCCGAAAGTGTTTGCCCAACCACCGGAAGAAATGCATCTGCAAAAGGTCCTCGAACTTCACACGCAAACGATCGAATATGACCCATAGTGACCTCCGCCCGATATCCCCAAGCACGCATCTTACCCAGCTCCTCCGCCCGACGCAGTGCCTTTGCCACCTTACGCATCCACACAGTCTCTGCACCCGCATGCCGCTCCGGTGGATACACACATAGCCGACGAAAGGCCACAGCACCCCGACCTTGGCCAAAGTCCGGTGTACCAGTAGTTGTTGGGATAGAACACAAAATCGTCTCCGCCCTTGTGCACCATGCTTGATAAGCGTCATCAACCCGGCCTCGACGAAGCAATCGTGCTACCGCTGGATCAGAACCTACGCGCTCCACCTCATGTGCATGGGTAGGCTTCCTGTACTCCACATGTCCGCCCACATTCCTGCTCATATACCCCGATGGATCCCAAGAGCTTAAACCTCAAACCCTAGGTAACCCTAAACCCTAAATCCTAGGGGCTGCGCCCAGGTGCGGGCAGCGCGAGTTGTTGTCAGCGGATGTAGCGGGGGAACGGGAAAGACACGTTAGCGGATGTAGCGGGGGAACGGAAAGGCACTGTCAAAATTTCCGGACGGTGCCGAGACAACGACAGCTCGACACCGGAAAAAAAGTGCGACGTAGGCCCGAAGTGCACAACTTGTGGGTGATCTCAGGCTCTGAGCCCTTGTTTGCCCTCCATGTGGCCCGCACCCCCCGTCCGCCGGACCCCGCTGATGCTGATGATGCGCGCCCTTTGGGGGCTTCCGCAAGCCACGCAAAAACTTGGAAATCATAACTTCGCGGCCCACTTCGCGCCGCGGGGCCGGTTGCGGGCGCACGAATGCTCATGATGCTCGCTGGCTCGCCTCCTGGGGTCGTCCACGCCGGCCCCGAAACCCGCCATGCCGTGGGGAATGGCTGCGAAGCGCGTGCGCGTTCCGAGACGCCTCCGGGCCAGGGCAGGCGCGGCCCGATGGAGAAACGGAGGTCCGATGATGCGGGGTCGGCGGCGGGTCGGCGGCACAAGCCGTCGTGGCTTTTGCTTCGCAAGACAAGCCATTCGTCTGAGCCATTGCTCAGTCCATACAGGGCAGCGAAGCGCTGCCCGATTTAAGAGCCTCCGGCTCAAGCCGCCGACCCCGTGGGCGACAGACCAGAAGCCGAATGCACTTGTACAGGCAAAGTCGTATGGTGTCCGCGAGGCCCGTAGGTTTAGTTCTAGAAGGATTCTTGGCGACGAGCTCAAAAAACGGGCGCCAGTTTTTGTGCGCCAGTTTTGAGCCGCTACTCGCAGTCACAGTGGTCCTAAACCCTCAAGCCGACAAGCTTCACTGGTGCGCTTCTAAGATTGTGAAACCTTCAAGTTGAGAAGCTTCGCTGGTGCGCTTCTAAGATTGTGAGACAAAACGGGGGGAAGAGGCGGAAGCACGCGAGGCTGCGCGACGATCACGCGAAGTAGGAACAAGGAGCACTTTGGAGCGGAGATGCCAAGGTTGAAGAGGAAGAAGGGGGCAAGGCGGGTGGGGGGGGAAAGGGGGAGGGGGGGGAAAAAGGAGAAAAAAATTGGTGGTCTCCTACAGTGAACTGATTTGAACCCAATGGGCTGTGGTGTGTTGCTTTTGGGGGCTTGGGTGCTGCTTGCAAACAGCCATGGGGTACCACCCCCCCCCCTCTAGGGGCGCCCGGAGTGCGGGATAGGGAGGTTAACACCTCCAAGCCCATCGAAACCCATCCAACAGGCCATAACCCTAACCCCGACACCTTACGAAATCTCTGAATTTGCACAGCTCCTGCCAGGCTCAAGATGAAGCCGACCATTTGCAAGAGAAGCGTCAGGCCTTTTGGGCATCAAAATGAAGATTTAGAATTCAGATGGATTCAGGATGAGGGTTTGGGGCTTTAGGATTTCGGGTTTTAGGGTTCTGGGGTTACATGTTTTGGGTTTTAGGACCATCGGCTTTGGGGCTGGGGTCGCCCTCTGGGCATCGACGTCCTGCGAGCATAGGGTTTTGGGGGCCCCGCTATACTATAATTATAGTAAGGAACCCCCCAATCGCACAGGCGGTGATTGTTTGTTAACTCCCGTCATGACGGAAATGCTTGCCACCTCAGCTCTAGATCCGAAGTCCTGGACGCAAAAGTTGCAAAGAGGACCCCAAGCCACGCCCTAAACCTAAACGCAGACCCTACCTGAATCCCGAAGAACCTGCATTTTTAAGGACTTATGTAAAGAAATCATAACAATAATAATTATAAGGAACCCTAAAAAGGTAGGTTATTCAGGGTTACGGTTAAGGTAAACCCGAAATCCCAGATTGCTGGCCGGCTTCTGGATTCCGTGCAGAATGGCCTCGACCGAGGCCTTGCGAGGAAAGCCCGGCTTGAGTCTCCTCTTCAGGCCGGCTCACGTGGATAAGAAGAGTATACGTACACACACTTACACATGCACAGATGTACTCATACATACGCGCGTACATACATACTATATCTCTCTATGTATGTATATATATATATATAGATATGCACAATGAACATACACTTATACATGTGTGTATATATGTATGCGGATAGACAGATAGACAGACAGCGAGATGTCGATGGATAGAAATTCAGAAAGATAGGTTGATAAACACGCATACAGAAGTGAGTATTGAGGCAAGTTGTGGTTCCAAGACCACTCCTCGTCATATGTAACGAACAGTGACGCATGAATACACAAGCACGAGCAGATAGTATATGTCTGTATATGCAGACAATGGTCTGTAAATACTTCTCGTATACCATGCGTTGTCTGCATGTGCATACATATATAGGAAGACATCAAGTCTCAAACTGATTCCAGGTCCTGCAGCTATCATTAGAGATGCGAAAGCTCAACCACGAACTGGAGGTGGGAGGCTGCCTTCGTCTTCAACGTGAAAGGTGCCCTGTTTCTCCATTGTTGCACGAGCCTGTAAGTTTTGGATGAAAGGTCTTCGGGGTCCAGAGTTTTGAAAGGGAATTCGCCTGAGGTATCCTTTCCGACATTGCCGCGGATGTGATTGGGCCCATTCACTTGGTAGAGTCCTGGCTGCTTTTTGGCGTTTACCCGTTTCTGTTTTGCCTCCGGGACTGTGGGTGCATGGACGAAGCTCAGTACCGAAACTGGGCCAACTGACGACGATGATATGCCCAAGACCTTGCCCTCACAGCTAAGTGCTGCATTCGGGATGTGGAAAAATTGTGAGACAATCAAGTAGCAACCGTTAGGGCAACGCTTGTAGCCATCGAGGTGGTGGGTACCAGCAGTGGTTGTCGTTTTCATTGCCGTGGAGAAGGCAGTAGTCGGAATTGAAGAACGAATGTGCTTTACTACAATGCACTACCGAGTGGTGCAAACTGATAGTACTCAGAATCGTAGGAGCACGCACCGTGATATCAGGAGCTTCTGTCATTATCACAGCGACAGCAGCAAGAGGCAACAACACTAGCAATTATGATTTTGACCCTTAGTAACACTATCGGAATAATCATAGTCAACAGGGTAAGAATCCAGAGCAGATGTGGCCTAGGACGGATCCCTGGACTCGGGGGAGGCGCGGTACCTCGGCGAGCTCCTAACAGTGGAGGACGCCAGGACGCTCCAATGCGGTCGTTCTTGGTTTGTCCTTTTTGATGTGAGAGCTGCTTCGGGGTTTAGGGTTTAAAGTTCATGGCCGTTTGGGGGTTTATTCAGACTGCTGTTGGCTGTTGGGTTTTGGATGCCTTGCCAATGGTTTAGTGGTGTTGCTGACTCGTATTGCTGCGACGACGCCGCCTTCTTCAACACGAGACTCCTGTGTTTGCTTCACCGGGCCTGAAACGGGACACACAAGGAAACGACGTAACTTTACCGACTCCCGCGAGATCAGGTGCTGCATGTGGCACATGCGTTCTATTGCTGCAAGTCTCGTGGCCCGCGGTTGAGGACGAAGCCGGACAAGGACGGCTTCGATGCACGTCTTGACTGGGTTGAGACCGGCTGGCAGGACGGGGCCATGCATGAGGTTCCGTCTAAGGAGGTTCGGGCTTCGGGGGGCTTTGGGGCTGCGAATGTACGACAAAAGTGAAGCCTACCGTCTGCTCTGTCGAAGCAGAAAAAAGCTGTGCGAACAGAGTGCTTCTCGGGTCCTTCAGCATAGTGCTGTTTGTAGGCACCAGCACAGCTTCAATCATAGCAGTGCTGTATTTCCGAAACAGCAGCAAATCACCGTGTGAGCTTCAAATGTGACCAACCGACCAGGAGTCTGAAGGCATCCTCGATGCAGACAGCATGTGCACGGCGTGGCATCCCAGATGGAGTTTCAACTGTTTGAGCTTAGATTCGTTCTCAGTTTTCGACACTGTTCCATGGTGTCAGGTTCAAGTGCTGCTTCGCAGGGTTGGCGAGACCTTGGAGCATGCCAGGCTCTTCAGGGAGACTCCCGGGACGTCCACAAGCTCGTACAAACACAGTTCCGCGACAGGAAGCGCGGGTCCACTGTGAGGCTGAGGGTGAAGCCGACAAGGCTTCACTTGCTAGTCTTCAGCTTCCTGCGCAGAATGCACGTTGGGTGAGCATGCAAGGCTGGCCTATGCTGCCAGTGAGCCTGGCTTGCGTCTGGGTTTGTCCTCGCCTTCCTCCGTGCAGGACATTCTTGTCCACGTAGGTGCTCGGATGATCTGTGGACGACAAGTGAAGGACCGCCTGGCAACCTTGGTCAGCTTCTCGGACTCTGGGGAAGTCCTCGTGAAAGTGGATGGTGGAGAGGCACTTTTCTAGTAGGTTGCGGCGCAAACTTTAACTGACTTCGGTTGGCAGGAGGAGATGCTGGATCCTCGCCCTAGTACCGTCGTGGTGGCAAGCACGGTCGAGCGAGCTGCTGGTGCAAGCCTCAACTCGAATCAGGCATCGTGTCCCATTGACGCATATTGACGCCGTCAAGGATGCCAAGTCCTGCTGCTCCACGAGGAAGAAAACCTCGTCCAGGCAGAAGTCCTTGCCTACCTGGGAAGGCACGCTGCAAGAAGCGTCCTCCACGAGCTACACTTCGCCTTGTGTAGGCACCTCGGTAGCCGCCACCGCCACTCGGCAAAACCCTGGGCATTGCGTTATGCACAGGACAGAGAAGAGACAGAGTACCGACAGAGCCAGAGCATTGGTTGACGGAGCCGGTCTGGTTGGCTTTGATCATCATCTGACTATCATCTGCGGCAGTAGCAGCCACAGTAGCAGCCTCAACAAGCACTAGTGATCACTAGTGTGCTGGTGTGAGAAATCTTGGTATGCTCCTGTGTTTTGCAAAAGGTGTGCGCTACACGGCCGGTGGCGCTTCGAAGGAGTGCACAAGTTAGAAGGGGCCCCCACCCTCTAACAGTGGCATAATAGGAATATAATAGGGCCCTAACATAATCCTTATAGTCACTATTACAGGGTGGAGGCGGCTTCTAATGCACAAGTCGAGAGATCTGGAGCTTTCGTTTTGCTCAGCCAGCGGAGCCGCAGGAGCTCGAGGTCGACTTGAATGCATCTCGGCAGTTTCAGAGGAGTGTAGTTTGCAGAGGCGCCCTCGCAGGGAAGCCAGAGCTCCTTGCACTATAGTATAATGTATTCATATCTTATATAAGATCAGATAAGACAAAGCAGTACTATCAGAAAGCATGATATGACGGTCTCAGGAGATGAACCACAGCCTGCAGCGCTTCGCAAGCCTGCAAGACTTCGAAGCGACCCGAATCGCGCGGCCCGGCCCTGCAAGACGGCAGTTGCAGCTTCCGCCCGTATTCGTGCTGCCGGTGCATATCAGCAAATTTCACTCGGCGCTGCCAACCAAAATCGCTCTCAATGCCGTCAGTTCTCGATCCGAGTTCAACGGAGTACGGGTATTGTTGCGGCTCGTATTGCGCGTAAGCGTTTTGCAACCACGCAAGTGCTTCCTTGGCTTCTGCTGTTAGTAGTGAGGTACTGCAAGAAGGTGGTGGAGGACACTCGTGGGCTTCATTGCTCTGGTGCCTCAACGGGAGTTTGTTTCCTGCAGCCAACGTTTCTGAATAGGACGGACGGTACATCGAGGATGCGATCACGGGCAATCGCAGCTCAACGGCCTTGGCTTGTCATTTCGACCTTCCTTGCATGTCAGCTGACTGGAGAGCCGATAGGGGGAGTCCGGATTAGCTGCTAAGGCGTGGACATTTCGGAGCAGATTGTGCGGGTGCAAATGGAGGCATGTTGTCGGAGAGGGGACCGATGCAAGATGGCATCACGACAGTGCGACAGCTATGAGCTTCGCTTCGCTTCGCACAACTCAACTCTGAACGACACTCGCAACGGAAAGCCGGCCAGGTGCGACAGAATCAAGATGCAGACAGCATAAGGCCCGGGACTGCGAAAGTGAAGTCCCGTTCAGGATCTCTTGGAGAGTGAAGCGGTCTTGGAGTCTGCCGGCTCGCTACCTACATGACAACGAGTGATTCCTGCAACAGGCACATGGTCTTTGACGACTTGGAATGGATCTCGGACACTGTCTTTCACCTCGGAGATCGTGTCTGGGCGCAAGGCCGCGAGGCGGCTCCTTTCTGTCTGAGTGCAGGAGCTCTCCCCGCATGGAAGCTGACTGCTTTGTCAAATATCTATGCATGCTTCAACGACCAGGGCATCGTCGAGCACCTGCAGAAGCACGGCCGAACCTTGACAGACGACTCGGGCTGAAGCTTTCGGGCCGGGAGTTGGCGGGGAACACAATGAGTGATGCTAGTGAAGCCATCCTCAGTCTCCAACCAAGCAGAAGGCAGGTGCCTCTCATCATTATTGACTCAAGGGCAGATTCGTCCGACAGCCCTGCAATCTTGCGTCTGAGGATACGTCGTCAAGTACTCGGATGGAACGTCGTCCCCGGCTTTGAACCTTAGCTGCAGGCATTTTAAACAAGCTCGAACATCACACATGGGAGTTGAAAAGGCTGCACTGACAGGAAGCATACTGGCCATTAGGGAATCATTAGGGTTACCACTGAGATAGACTCATGTGAGGTTTTGCTCACTGCTGACTACGTATGAACTACCAGCTGTCTTAAGCCCGACGGTTGTAACTTGGGCTTAGGGTTTTCGAGACCCCTGAGACAGCAAGCCGCATGCCACTTCTAGCAAACCTGTTGGGTTCTTCCGGCGGCTCCCAGGCCTTCCAGCTCCATCAAACGGGGGCGACCCATTTCCGGAGTGACTGGGACGGCAATGTTCCTGGAGGTTTCGGAACTGCGGTAGAGCTGCGAGAAAGTAAGAGGAGGGCCTTCGTGGAAAGAGTTCGTGGGCCGTGGTCGGCTTAAAGAAAAGCTGTATGGGAATTAGGGCTACCTTATATTGGGGTCCTGATAATAAGGGTCCTACTATTTTAGGGTACTAGATTAGTAGTTTTCCCCTATTTCGGAAACTCCCATGTCCCGGTAGTCATCAGCTTCCGAGGTTTGCATGTGGAGGACGTAGTGGCGCATTGCTATTAGTGGCTGGCCATGAGTAGGTTGCCCAGTCGAGGTGCAAAACTCGTCCTTTGAAAAGGCCGGGCACCGGACTCTTGGGCATTTATACTAACTTTGGCATGTTTGTAACCCTGACAGCATCTAAAGAGATCCCGAAGGGAATATCTCCATGATGTACAGAAATGGGCTCCAAATCAGCGGAGTCGAACATCTGTTTCCGTTCCTATGATCACTGCACACAGATCAAGCTGTCATGGGCTTCCGCAGAAGCTGCACATTAGATAAAGTATGTGGCAGAACACCCATGAACCTTATGAACCCCGAGCCTCACTTACATCCCAAGAAGCCCTCAAGCTGGAGCCTCATTTCGGCATGTCAACACGCGGCATTGTTACAAACCTCGATGAGGGACATGGACTCTTGGTGGAAGGGGAACGTCAGCATGATCGGAATGGCCATTGGTTCGATGCTGGTCGCTGCACTGACATATTCATATGTGGCATTTTGGGTCGATGGTTTGATCGCCCCAGGCGAAAAGAAGCTTTGGAATAGCGATTCCTACGAGGATCGACTGCGTAATACTTCTCATCTGCCGACGGATTGCATGCGCTTTCTGCAGACGGATGTTGTACAAGAAGTAGAGTCCTGCTTGCAGTGGTGTCGACGTAGCCTTGGCCCAGGCAGTTGCGTCGCGTATGCATTGAGCTACGATCACGTCATCAAGACTGCCACACATAGGAATGCTTCCGTGCGCATTGTCTACGGCACCTGCTTGAAGGTGGAAGTTGCTGCATTTGCCAGGCGCATCATACCTTCGCAGGGAATGGTGTACTTATGGGCCCTTGCCTACATTATTCTTTGCTTGGTGTTGCTTATGTCTGGCGGTGTCTTTGACAGATGGCCAGGATGCGACGAGGCCCGTGCCTTGGTTTTGTTAGCTCGGCCAGCGTTGGACCTCGTGATCTTCTTGACTTTCCTTCGAAGCGGCCAGCCCTACTACGCGGTCTTCATGTTTGCGGGCCTTTTGATGTCCTACATGCTGCTGTCCAAAGCGACATCAGGTTTTACACCCTTCTTTGCTACAGGAGTTATTGATGGTCTGAGGGAGGTCAGGAAGAATGGGGAAGACAGCCAGAAGCTGAAGAAAATCAAGGCTGCCGAGACCTTTGAGTGCTTCACAGGCACAACAGTGCAGATTTATAGCATCCTGAGAATGCCACCGGAGTATGCCCATTTGTTGAAAGTGCTTCCACTCACCGTAGTAGTAAGTTGGAAGCTTTTTCACACGCTGCCCGGCTGCGCCTGGGCAATTTACAGTCTCGCCAAGCTCGACAAAAACGGCACGATACAGCGGAAGGATGAGGACAGGGTCCGGCGCAAAGTGCACGGTTTCTTGAGCTTGCTTTGCAGCTGCGTGGCTCTAGCCACCTGGTTCGTGATTGCCTATGCGCGACAAGACGTGAGTGGAGTTCGGTATGTTGTGTGCTGTTGGCGGCTAGTGGGCCATTTGTTGGCGGCACACACGAAGGCGTGGATGAATGAGCAGTGGTCACAGGCGCTTGCGTTACTGCTGTTGCTGCCGTTTCGCACCACGGCCTGCTTATTCCTTTTGGCGTGGCCGATCATCACGATTATGTGGGCAAGCGTGTTCATTGCGGAAACCTGTTGGAACACAGTGGACAAGATGCTGCCAGTGGCGGATGCTGTTCCATCCAGCTCGGCTGATGGTCCATGTGAAAGCAGGTCCGCTGACCGAGCTCTTCGCATTTACTCGTACCGGTCAGTGGATGGCTCTGATGCAGATGGTAGCAGCAACAGCGATGAAGCACAATGTTTGCTGTGAAACGAAAGTTGCACACCTCCGATTAGTCTGACAAACAGGATTGCTACCCTGCCAAAGCAGATTTACAACTTCAATCCTTCTGGACTCGTATCTACCTGAGATGCCTCGACGGGGCGAAAGTTCCCAAAGCCAGCAGAAATCCACAACTCCTGAACCCTGAGCTGCCATTAAATGCAACCGCTTCAAACACGAAGCTCTTCGTTTCATGAGAAGTTTCGGGATCTATACGGCTACTAGATGGGTTCTAGGGTTTAGGGTTTGAGAGGAGAACTTCCCTCGGAAATTTCTGCCCACTGCCAGTTGGGAGGAAATTACCTGTACTACAGGAGCTTGAAGAATTGCCAATGCTCTTCATTCCTCAAGGTCGCTTCATGTACTTGTAATTCCCGTACAACATAACCCGACATGTTATCACCAAGGCCCCTATATTGGGTACTGCCCCCCATACAGTAACAGTCTATAATCGGGCTACTATTAAGGTCCTAATATATCTACATCATGAATATTATCCAACTGCTACTGAGTGGGGGCAGTTCCCAACCCTTACATTGCATCATCCAGCATTCGAGAGCCGACACGATAGAGGCTGACACGTGGCACACGGCGTTTAGAAAAGCAAGTGGGGGTGTCCGAAAATTAGGGGCACCTTATTTTGGGGTCCTTATAATAGGGATCCGATTATTTAGGGTACTATGTTAGGGTCCCCTATTTTTGGAAACTCCCAAGTTTTTACTTCTGGGAAGCAGAAGCTTCAGAACTCCAAACTCCTTACCTTAATGCCAAGGCCCACGACCCCTCAAACCTTGAAGCCGTAGCCCAAAAGCCTACGGCCTAAGTTTCTCTACCCTAGGTCCCTAGGTGCTACGACTGTAGGATTCCAAGCATGTAAGCTGACAGGCTATAAGGCCGTCGAAAAACTGAAGCCGATAATTGTGGCTACCTTATTTTGGGGTCCTTAGAACAAGGACCCTACTATTTATAGGATACTATACTAGGGGAAGCCAGCAAGCCCCCAATCGCTGGGAGGTCCGGGACATCTCACAGATGGTCCCACTGCTGCTGCACAAGAGCCGCGTGGCTCAAGGCCAGAGACTAAGGGCCCTTCTGGCTGAGGGGTGATGTAGGCCCAGAGACTCCAATATCCCTTAATTAAGGAATATTCCGTAAGTTATGGTAGGATCCCTTATATGATTTAAGGTATATTCCTTAGCTAAGGTATATTGGAGTCTTTGGTGATGTAGGGTGGAGCGGGGTTTGAGGAGTTTTCAATTTAAGTTCAGGACTGAAGCTTCAGGGTTTAGAGCACGAATGGCCGTACTGCACGCCTATCCACCACCAGACTCTCAGACACCGAAGCAAAAGCTGCAGGCGGGTGAACATTTGGCGCAGGGAAGAGAATCGGCAAAAAGTAGCATCCGTCAGAAACAGAGGCTCGGTGTTAAATTCGACAAGGCCAGAACAAACGAAAAGCAAACTGTAACGCGCCCAAGTCGCACCTGATGCTCGGAGTCCCTGAACCCTAAAGTGCCCTAAAGCCCCATACGGCTGGAAACCCTGAAGCTTTAACTCTGAGCCCTGGAGAAATTGATCCGAAACCCTGGAGCTCTTGCAGGGAGATCCCATGGTCCCTAAATAGTAGGACCCTTATCATAAGGACCCCAAAATACTTAGCCCTTGCAGGGAGATGCCATGGTGCTCACTCCTGCCAGCCCGTGCTGATCAGGGCCGGTCCCGGGACTGGGAAGAGCCTCAGTTGTGCACGTTATGGCAAGGCGTAAGAATCGTAGTAGCTGAGTGGATACACGTTTTATACTTTGGGGGGATAGTATTACCCTACATAAAACTGAAAGTGCACACTGGTTCGGGCTTATGAACTCAGCATCTAAGATAAAGACCATAAAGAGGCTAAACAGCATTCCTTCTGGATCCGTGTGATCCCTAAAAAACCCTAATTAGTCTAAGTACGGGCTTTTGCATTAGGGCACTTGGGCGGTCTCTGCTCGGAGCACTTGTAGCTCGGGATGCAGGTGCACGAAGCGAAGCCAGCCAATTCAGACACCACGTGACACGAGTGAACAGAGCCATCATCAATCGGGGTGTGTCATTTTTTTGAAAGAGCGACCAGCCGAGCAGCCTCAGTACGGACAAGGACATGGTCGATGCAACAGCTGCTGCTCTTGCTGGCCCAGGCAGAATGCTCTCCCCGGGACATGAAGCTACGGAGTCCTACCGATGTTTTTGCTTCTGGATGAATGCTGGCGTGACAGGAACTGGCCGGAGGAGGTCAGAAAGAGGACTCCGTCAAGCGGGTCGCTTAAGAAAGTTCTTGTGGGCCTGAGTGAGAATTTCAGAGAAGCATACTCAACTGTCTCGGAGACTGCAGGTTTCGCTTCGTGCCGCTACTTATTCCCATACAAAAACTGGTCGCGTTCTCGGCTGTCGCTGTGATGAACACCATTGCTGCAAAGAAGCATGTTTCTTTCCATGCCTTACGACTGAAGGCGCGGATGTTGCGGCAAAGATCGGCGTCAGACGAGGCGCTGCATCTGCTGCGGGCCTATTGGAAAATACGGAAATAGCATACTGTCGTCACGCAATGCAGTCATATAGGCACATGCGTAAACGTACACAAATGCACATAGCTAGCGTTGACAGGTGTTGAGTCGCACTTGAGCATGTCAGCATGGAAGGAAGCAACGTCAAACCTGGTCCTTTTCTTCATCCGGACCGAGTATCCCCAGGGACCTACCAGGACTTTCTCCAAGTCTCGCTGTTTTGGCCGGGCTGATGCAGAAGTCTCCGGTGCGGCAGGAACATGCTGGAGCAAGCCTTCGAGATGCGAAGCTTGATTGTAATGCTGGATGGGATTGATGAGGCTAGCAGTTCGGAATCGGAGTGCCCGAGTGCTGTGAGGGGATCTGAGCAGTTAGCCGAACTGCCAGTTTGCACTGCAGGCAGCCAACATGAAGCTAGCCGTGGAGGAGTTCGTGACGAAGACTCTGGTCTTGATGGGTGTTCCTGGATCGCTGGTAAACAAGATCTTCACTTTTCATTTGTCAGCTCTTAACGCCAAAGCAGAATAACAAGTGTCACATTCATTAGCAGCTCACCCACTGTCAAGGTTCCTCTCCTGGTGACATCCCGGCCCGAGGGGATCAGGAAACGCCTCTACTCCAGGAGCTTCATCATCATGAATCTGCAGCCACTGAGCGGGGACCAACAGCACAAGATCATCGAGAAGCAGCTTCAGCAGAATTCCTTCTTCAAGCACCTGGTGGCCTTCAGCAGGGCTCGGCAAGCTTTGGAGGAAGCCTTCCAAAGCAACTTCCCGGAATCCAGTGTGGACCGCAGCGCTCTTGAGGCACTTCCGCAGACGGCGGAGGAGGCTGTGGTGCCAGCAACACCGGTGATTGATCACGAAATCTTCGCGGCCGTGTTCTTCTGTGCGGCTGTGCGTTTGCTCGCGAGCGCGGGGCTGAATCCGACATGCCTGCAGCTTCCACAGGACCCGCAAGATGAGAAGAACCCGGAGACAGAAACTCGGGATGTCCAGAAAAGACTGAGCATCCATTCCAAGAAGCTTGGGATGATCAAGGCGGACTTCGTGTGTCCTAGCGCCGCCTCACTGGCGAGCCTCTGCAAGACGTTGCTGACGGGCTTCACAGTGCAAATCGACGGAGAACCCGCCAGTCTTCACGTTGTTCGTCGCTGGAGCTCCTTTCAAAATCCTGGCCCGACTCGCCTGCGGTTTCTGCGGTACGAACTCAGACTGAAATTCCAGGATGCATGTCACACCGCTCAGGCAGGAAGTGTTGAAGTGCCTTCAGGCGTTCTTTTCTTCTAGGTTTCTTGTGCAGGTGCAGATCCATCATTCAGAATGCCTTTCGGTGTATAGGCAGGGTGTGCTGGCGGAGCGGCCTTCATGCACCAAAAGCCCCAGTTTCTGCATCAGCTCGCCACCAGGACTTCGCAGATGCAGGAGCCTTGAAGAGCGACCAAGAGCGACTTGGGTGCTCTCGCCAACCTGCCTGCGGTGCTTGGAGTCAGGAGCACTACACGCATCTCCAGAAAAACCTCCAGGATCAAGGCAGCTACGGCTGAAATAGATGTTCTGAGATAGTCAGAAGGGCAACCAGGTTGCCGCAAGCTATTTCCCCGCTGCGTAGTGCACCTGTGCAGGTGGACATGAGACTTTTGATGCTATGCTGGAGGCCAGACATAGCTTGACTGGCCCATCAGTGAGATGGTTGTCAGTCCTGCTATTACAAAGGCCAGAATGTTGGTCTTCGATGCCATATGCCGCATCCCCGCCCCGTCCCCAGCTGCAAATGCCTGCGGTTTCTGCCACTGCTTGCTTCTGATGTTGCATCTTGCTGGCCACATGAAGGTGCTCCTGTCGGTGTTGGCCTGTGCCTTTGTTGCCTCCTCAGGAAGCTATCCAAGAGTACCAGCTGAGCAGAAACTAGTAAAAAAGGGTGGTAAATAAGTGCCAATATCATTTTGGGGGTCCTTATTATGATTATAGTATAATGGGCCCCAAAACCCTATTCGAATTATTAAGGCCCCTATAGTAGGGGTCGGTATCAGTCCAAACCCAGGCCGTGGAGACCCAGCGGCTGCCACAGAACCTTTATGACCTTTACGCGAGGGCCTCGGCTTCCGTCCTACTTCCGAGTTTGGCCCAGGGAGGTGGGAGTTTCCAAAACTTGGGGGTACCTTATTTTGGGGTCCTTCTCATAAGCATCCTACGATTCAGGGTACCATATTGGGGTCCCCTATTTTCGGAAACTCCCGGGCGTGTCTTGCGCGCTGCTGAGGAGATGGGCATGCTCTCTACCCTTGAACGGCGGGTTGGAAAGGAGCCTTCTTCGACTCAGACTGCAGAACCCGCAGAAAGGGTGTATGTCTGCCATGACGAGTGAGCGGGGTAGTGACAGCTTCCGTGGCCTTTGCAAGCCCAGCCAAGTGTCGCAGGACAGGGTGCAGGCACGATTTGGGCATTCGCCGGCATGAGATGCAGAATGCTTCCGCTCACATCGAGTCGGAGCCGTGTTTGTGTTTGTGTCTGCGACCCTCCCAAGATCTAAGCCCTCTGTTCAGAACTCAGCAGAACTCCAAGCACTTCCCTGAAATCATCCGGAGGCTGTGCTGGAGATGCTGCAGGCAATCGCTGTGGCCAGGAGCTAAGCTCACGAGACTTTCCATGAGCGCTCACATGTCGAAATTGGAAAGTCGTTGCGAAACACTCGTTCGGGAAGTGTACAGTAACATTTTCTTGCAGCACACCACCAACCGTGAGTTGCCACAGAAGGCACTGTGTTCTCTTGAGGCGAATCATCTAGCAAAGCGACGTACGTTCCAGGCAGCCGAGCCAGAGTCATGGCCTCGGTTGTCGTGTGCTTCCGTGCCATCGACGAGGCAGAGGATCTTCGAGTAGCACTGAAGGCACGGGAGCTGTTGATGCCTCGTCTAGCAGCATCCAGCAGCCATCAGCAGTCCATCCACAGGAGCCAAGCCAATTGGCATTGTGGTCACAGTTGCTGGAGGCACATTGTGTTTGCTGCTCATTCTTATACCACTGAGTTACTACTGACTAGTTGTGCCGACAGCAATATGCACGTTCGAGGATGGCTCTGTTCCTTTGGCACGAGCCTCAGAAGCCAAGCCTTGTAGCCTATTCAACCTCTGCTCGGGTTTGTGAGGTCAAGATACTGACCCTGGGCGACATGACGGGGGAGTTTCAGTTTAGCTTGGACCCAAGCGCTTTCGGAATATGTGCTGGAGAGTGCTGGTCGTGCCCGTTGAAGAGTCTCCGGACTAAATGGCAGGAATCAGGGCAGACCCCTCTTGAAGCAGATTCGGAAGAGCAGGAAGCCTGAGAAACAAGAGAACCCTGTCGCAGAAATGGAACTGCACAGATGGCGAACATAGGTCCCATGCCCTTAGCAAGGAGAACCACCATAGGCCATAGGCCTTTAAATCTCCAGTAAGCAGAGTCGGAAGAGCGGAAGACCCAAACCTCGAACCCACACCCCCTAAGCCCGGCTCCTCCCGCCCGCCCCACGACCTCCTGACTGCCGAGCTCTGTTAGGATAGGAGGAACAGGGGCCGATTAAAAGGATGAAGGAAATCGTGAACCCCCAGCCATAAACTCAGAAGCCTCACCCAAATGCTACACTGCTACACCCGTCAATCGTAAACCCCTCAACTCCCAAAGCCCCCCTGCTCCGCATGTGGGTTTTTGGGTCCTTATGACAGTACGGCACCTAATATTTAGGGTGCCCAAAAGGTGCCATAATTTTGACAACCACCCATGTGTTTTGAGGCCACCTCAGTTTCCAGGAGGCTCTGTTCGTCCGAGCTCTCAGCGCCAGTGGACTCCCGAGCTTTCAGAGGAGAGGGTTAATATAGGAGCATGAATAATTAGAATGGGGTTTGGGGGCCCATTATACTATAGTTATAACACGGAACAGTATGGTAATTAGTTAAGCCCCTATAGTAGGGTTTGGGGTTTAGAAGAAAAGAAGAGCAGAATGAGCAGAAGCGGAAAAAACACCACGATGACGACAACGACTGCTAACAGCAGTCATAACCAGCAGCTACTCTTGTTATCGTAGCAGTTACAGCATTTGTTAGAATCGTACTGCTAGCAACAAAGACTCAACAGAAGTGGCACTAGAAATGGTAGACGTAGAGGAATCAATAGCAGTAACAGTAGCAGTCGTAGGGATAGTGCTCGTCGTCGCCTTGGTGGTAGGTGTAGTCCCACAGGCGTAGTCGCAGTAGCAGTAGTAGTAGTAGTAGTAGTAGTAGTAGTAGTAGTAGCAGTAGCCGGAGTGGTAGTAGCAATAACAGTAGAAGTAGCAGCAGCTGTAGCATCGGTAACAACGATAGACTGACGGAGAACAAGTGCAGTAGTATGAACCATCATAATAGCAGATTATCCAGACAGGCTGAATATTGCTACTTACCCCAGTTGATGAAGGATGATTGACTAATACAGTTTATGCCAAGAAAATAGTTGTTGCTGTTGGTAGTATTGTTGCAGTTTCTGTTTTCACATTGGTTCTGTAAATTTTGTGTTTCGCATGATCTTCCGTCTTAGCCTCATCACTATGACTGCCTAGTTTCAGTCATGTTCCGGGATTGTCCACCTGCTCAGCTGCTGCTGCAGCTGCTGCTGCGCATTACAGTAGCAATATGGAGGACAGAAGGGCAATGCAATAAGGCAAGAGGCCGTATCCATTTCTCCGGTGTAATGGAATGAGGCTGCAAGATAGCATTCATTTGTGATGCTACAAAACACTGAGAGGCGAGCACTGATGACGACCTGACCCCGTTTCAACTTCACGGGTCCACCAGCTCCTCACCCGAAGACCTCTGACGATCGTACTCTTGCTCAGTAGTTTCACAGAAAGCAGAAGCAGGAGGCGGAATCACCCGAATCCTAAACTGAGGTGGCCAAGGCAGGCAGTTTCGATGCTTCTGGGGCTCCGACAACTCGCTGAACTCCAGTCTCAATGACCGAGCCTTACAGCCGGGTTGGGTTGAGGCTTCAGGATCCGTGAGTAGATGCTGCACGGTACAGCGCCTAGTTGCGTCTATGTCGGTGCTGCGGGGGCTTTTGAGGGGTTGCTAGTCTGCACCCGCGTGCAGATGCATGAGTTCGTGCGCAGCGCCAATCGCAAGAATGGCTGCGTCGGTGTTCATTGCAGGACGGCATATGTCTGGAGGCACGATCTGTCCAAACCGAGGACCCCTTCTACCGCAACACCTTCGTCATTGGTCGGGGCTACCTTGGCGAAGCCTTGGCAAGTTCCCAGTCCTCCTTCAACTTCGACTGCCAGCCACGGCTCTCTGCTCTCGGTCGGGAAGGCCTTCGCCACTTCTTGGCAGGCACTCGATCTCTTCGTAGCCTGCACCTTGGGAACGTGGAGCTTGGAGGTGAGATCTGGGCAGATCTCGTGAATTCCATGCTTCCGGGGCTCTCGCTCTCCCTCCAGGAGCTGGTGCTCAGCCGATGCCGGCTCTCGGCTGTAAAGCCTCTGGGAGCCTTGCTCAAGGCCTGCCCCAAGTTGCGCCTCTTGGATTTGGAAGGCAACAAAAGTATTCTGAGGACTGCTTCCGAGGTGGCCGAGTTGCAGGAAACGGTTGGGGAGTGCAAGCTCGACCACTTAAAGGTGCTCAGCCTACGATGGTGCCACATTTCCGCATCGTCCGGGACTTTCATCAAAGGCTTCTTGACGGCCAACTGCCCTGCACTCACCAGGCTAGATCTCCAGGGAAACAGGGGTCTCCCTCGAAGCTTATTTGCCGACACCTTCCTGGCGGACTACATTCAGGGTTGCTAACGACCACTGCCACTTCTGGCGACAAGCGCTTTTCTGAGTGGCAGTGATGGCGCTTCGTGGCGGCATTTGGACCATTTGCCCCGCAAGGGGGCGGTCCAAAAGTTAACGTACCTTGCACGAGCTTGCAGATCGGTTCAAAAGAGTGCCCGAGACCTGCAAGAAGATTTTCGCCCGTGACGAACATCAAGCACGAATACTTGAAGGCTGCTTGTGCGTTCATGGGATGATGT